CAGCAGTGTAGAAGTGAAAGTGCAAATTCAGGAACACCCAATAAGCACATCAGATTTCCACAATCCTTTACCGAATCTGATATGTCAGAACTTAATTCGGCTAGAACTGCCTTCCTTTTCAATCTTATTCATGCAGAACACATTATATATCTTGCTATTCAAAAATTCAAGAAATACATTCTGTGAAAACCCCTTAGAACATGGATATCATTAAGATTTAAATATTTACAATAACTAAAGATGCATTCGCTGTTTGACACCAGAGGAATGGGTGCATACAAAAAATTAAAAAAACAAAAATATTTGGAGAAATGATTAGCAAATTTCTGACCAGCAAATAAACTCTGGGATTTACTAGGAGCTTCAGCTTTTTTCTTTTTTTATTTAAAACAAGAAACTAAACTGTAAATTTTGTGTATCACTGGTAGACAAATTATCGGCTTACAAGTCAAGCATGAGATCCATAGTTCCGTGGTCTGTTCTTTTCAAACAATTAACAGTGTACAACAGAAGGAAAACAAAAAAGCGCTACTGCTCACTGCACTGACAAAAAGTATTTGCGGAATCAGATAAGCCTAATTTTGAAAACCTTTAAAACTCGGCCAAACATTCCAAATATTTACAATTGTTTACTCTGGGTTGAGGATAATCTTGTTACACCGAGTTTAACCTGTGACACCCACTATAAGCTGAATGGAATAAATATAGTCAAATATTACACCATTAATCTCCATTAATCTTTGTGCTTTTTTTCTTAATGGATAGCTTGTTTATGCAAACAAAGAGGATTCAAAAGCTTGACATTTGTTTCAATTCATAAATATGTACACCAGAATATCACTCCTTAATACACTTATAGTTTTATTAATTTCTGTGTTATCAGACCATTATCTTTGCATGCTAAGGGGGAGCATTTTAAACATCAAAAAAATGATATAAACATAGCAGATTTTCTTACCAATGGCAATATGATATAAAAAAAAAAATCAAAACAAATTAATACTAACTCTGTTTAGGGTTCTTGGTTCATCTAAGTACATAATTCATGGGAGAAAAAAATGTAGAGGTACTAAAATAAAATTAATAGAAGTATTGTATACCAGGTTTATATATCAAAGGTAAAAAGGTAGGGTTCATAGTCTTGCTCAAAGAGTACATTGCCCTGCACTGACTTCTACAATTTACCCCCTGGCAAGACCCGTACCATCCACAGCATTCTCAGCCCCCTTGGGGGCATACAAGCAAAACTGCCATATATACCCTGCTAATGCTTCAACATCCACATAGCCAGCTCGTCTCACGTGCCAGGTACCCATTTTAACCCCTGGGTTGAGAAGGTGCACCAGCAGAGTGAAGTAACTTGCCCAGGGTTACAATGAGTTTTTAAGTGACCAACCGAACTCGAACCTGGGGCCACTGGGTCTGATGTCATCCACACTAACCTCCACTCTATATGTCAAAATATCTGATGTTGGGTGTAAGGGGAAGGGAAATACCTCCTCCCAAAATTTTCTGATCCACCTTTACATTTTATGCATCTGAAGCACCATAGTTCATAATTTGTCTTTTCTGCATTATATATATATATATATTTTTTAAAATTACAACCCCCACATGCCATTGGATTGTTACTGTTTTTATCATACACCCTTGACCTGGTCTAAATGACCTTTGATCAAATCTCATGACCTCTGTTCATATCCAAGCACCATGCAGTATGTCACACCTCTGCAATCCCTAACATGGAGAGGTCAACATGCGATATAAATGTTCATTTCTCAAGACATTAGTTCACATCACTATGTGACCAATGATAAAAGGTCATGACTGTGAAACTAAAGTGCTGAATGTGATTCTGGTTAGAATTCATCTCCTTTCTCAATGTTCTATATTTATTTATATTTATTTAAACATTACATACATTTTAATTTTAGGGAAGATGTAAAACAATTATCATAAAAATATTTTGATCTTGGTTTGTGTGTATGATAAATCATGTATGCTAGAGTAGGTCATGATATATATATTATCAGTAAGGCAATCTTTTCACAGAAAATTTAGCCAAGGAGTCAGCCAAGTACAATACTCTTAATGTTTAGAAACAATAAACTGCTGGCAAGTCAATGAAGTCATGAAGTTGCCAATAAAATGGGAAATTGAATTCAAAACTCTTTAAGAATCAATTTAAAATTTTCATGATAAAACTCCAAAAGGCACCAAAATAGATGGCATTCTAAATCTCTTGGCTTATCAGAATTCTAGCAGAGGAAGAAAGAAAAGAAATAAAGCCCTGCAAGTCTAAAATTAGAATTCAAGGATAACATGTTTGATAAATGAATGCACCACAAAGATTCTTTCCCCCTCAAAAATGTAGTATATAGCCTGGTAACCCTTGAAGTGCCTGACACATACCTGGAAGTACAATGTACAATACATGAACATAATTAAAGCACAGTACATTTTCTAGAACAAAAAGGATGAGACTTGTTAATAGTTATGCAATCCTCCATCAGAATAGATCTATCTTTAACATCAGGGCTACACTGACATAAGAAATATCAACATTTTTTTTTATTTCAGCATAAAGAAATATCTTTTGTGTATATATCCTGTAATCCACGATTATGTCCTAATGGTGGACATCAGTGGAATCTTGAGAAGTTTCACCACATATAGATCATGTAGATATATTATATATGGACAATGGGCTTTTAATTTGCATATGAAGAATTGATGAATGAAAAAGAGAATATTTTGTCATATACCAATTTAATATATGTTAATGAGATGAGACATGCCTTACCGTGCCCATACCTAATTACTCAACACCCAGCCCACCCCTTATTATCAATTTGAAAATAAAATAATGGTCAGGTATGATATTTCAAAGACAACTCTTTGTTTTTATACAACAAAGTTTATAATCATATACAGTGCAAGTATGTACAGCACAATCATGTTCCATGCAATTTGTGATGTTTTTTAATTAAGGTCAAAGTTGAAGTTTGAATTGAGCACGTCAGATGCATACCATCTGGATGATGAGGACATGAGCAATTGATAAGACTATGTGGACTTCATGAGAACAATCTTTGGTTTAATATTAATTTAAACACATCAATATATATGCAAAAATAAATAAACAAAATAGTTTAAATTACATTTTAGCAATATTTAACACTAAATGCATGGAAGTACCCTATTCCTTATTACAGTGATTCATCCTATCTGCAACTTGCATACAGAAGTAAAATTCTAACAAAGCATATATTGATCACATTTATAGCATTAATGTTTCATGCCTCTATTTACACAAGTCGATATGATTAACATTTCGTTAAAATGGTATCTGGGCAACGGAAGAATACTTTATGAAATGTATGATCTAGCTCACCCAAAAACAAAAATTCTCCAAGGGGGGTTTCCAGTCTCAAAATTGGTTTTCAGTCTCAAAATGCAGATCAAAAAAAAAAAAAAAAAAAAAAATTAAATGAATCCTTTTCAGTTGTGTATCATTGCTCTTTCACACATATCAGTATATTGATAGGTTAATACAACTGGAAAATCATTGACAAAAAATAAGCATTTCTCATCTTAAAAAAATAAAAGAGTTAATGGTATTTAACATGTTTAAAACTAACATATTAAATTACTAAAACTGCCAGTGTAATGTATCATATTAAATACAATGCACCTGTTCTGATGTAGATTCTGATAAAAGCAGCAATTTAATACCTACATGTACCTGCTTTCTGTATGATTGACAGGTAATCATATATACATGTATATCACCCTTAATTATAATCTTAAGGATAATGACACTGATATACCTGTCTCACAGTATGTGCATTAAAAATTATTTTAATCTTCTAAACTCTTAATCACCATTTTGGAAGTATATCAGTCTTTAATATCAGATGCATAAACTTTCATGTGTTTATCAAGAAATCTACTAGTGTTTTCTCCCCCCTTTTTATGACCCCCCCACACACATGCGGTCCTGGTGAACCTCAATAAACTATAAATTCCCTATAAAATGTCAAAGATTAACAACATGGCCCTTCTTTGATCTTCAACAGGTGACATGAATTGTCAAACAATTGAAAACAAGGGTTTACTGTCCAATCAATACTTGTAAATACCCCCAAAGATACCCTGTTCTCATTTAATTTTTAAAGAAATCAGCATTTTTTAATGCAGTAGCTGGTTTTTAAATACATATTACATATATATCCTATAAACCAAACGTTTTTCAGGAATACAAAATAAAACAAGACTTTTTACTTATCTGTGCCAAATTCACATCAAAAGAATAAATAAAATGTACTTGTAACACCAATTCAAGCATCAACTTCTTGGCTTTAACTTTACTTGTACTGTCAGACAGTATAGAACTATTATACAATTATGTCATAGTCTGTCAGAGCTAGTCATTTATCTTGCATTGTACTCATGTTTGCCAAGTTGTCAAGAACTTATTGCTAATAAGTAATGTATATTTTATATATATATATATTGGGAAGGCATTCTGCTGTAAAAGATAAATATGTACTAAAAAATCCTGACACTAATAACCCCACCCCACAACTTCATTTTTTTTTCCCTTCAGCCTCCTGGAAATAACATATATCGTATCTCACTATCTCTCTATTTGCACCGGGAAACTGATAAATAAAATACACATCACTGTATCAAGTGGTGATCTGCTTTTCACTTCTGATAAGCACTGCAACTTAAGCTATAAAAAAATGAGAGGCATACATTTATCAAGGCATCATTCCAATGTCAATTTACAGCCCTAGTTAATGCATGAAAGAAAAATATATGCAAGTGCTGCTGAGACAATGAGCTGATACTGCATGTCCTGTGTGACTAAGCATGTTTAACTGTAAAAAAAAAAAACCCATCTGTTTGTGGTTTTGTTAAGTACCAAATAAAACAGCCAGTAAGCAGATGTTGGAGCAATAATGACAGCATGTCTAACAACACTAAGTACCTACCCCTTTTTTGTAGCGGACACTGCCACTGCGCTTTAGCGTCCCACCTTTACTGACTGCTTCTTCTACTTCCACACTGCCTCCATCGTTGCCTGGTCTAACACTAAGCTCTATCAGCTCTTGAATGGGCTGCACTTTCACTGTGACAGTTTCTCCAGACTGTCGGATCATTTCAACCATCTCCTCTCTAGAAATATTCTCAACATTGATACCATTGATTTCAATGAGTCTGTCCCCAGGTATCAACCCAGTCTGCAAGGCTTTCGGTCCACTTCCTGGTTCTGCAAAAACCACTGTATGTTTGAGTTCTTGTCCACTTTCTGTATTGTCTGCAATAACTGCTTTTCTAAGTGTAAAACCAAAGCCACCAGTTGGCTGCCTTTGAAGAACTAATTCTCTAACTTTTGGAGGTTTTATAGGTACGATTTCTGGCAATTTTAAGTCTGACTTATATGATTTGTCTGGAGATTTTTGAGGTGAATTAGGCGTATTAGAGTTTATTGATGAAACTGAAGTGTTATGCTCCAAAGGTCTGTTTTCTTTTTGAGCTACTTCAACTTTAGAAGGATTATTTGTTAAATGAGCTTGATATTCATTCATCCTTGTATTCTCTTGCAAAACGACACTGTCGTCAATGTTTGTTGAAACTTGCTGTTGCTCCACCTTTCCTTTGAGAATTGATTTTGGTTTGGGTGCAATAACTGGAGGAGCTGATCTATCTGCTCTGCCTCCACTAGGCAGCCTTTGAGGCCTTGTCAGACTGACCCTCTGTGCTGGAGGCTCGGGGGAAGTTTCATGACTTGGGCTGGGTCCGTCCCCACTCAAACTGCTGTCACTTGTATCCCTCTTCACGTCTTGACTGCCTGCTGCAGCAGATTTGTATCCAGATTTTCTATTTTTATCTTTATCACTCGAACGCCTAAACACACCTTTCTTCACCTCATCCAACTTGTTTAACTCATCTTGTGTCATTGGTTCACGCTTCTCCTTCTTTTCTTTTTCCTTCTTCTCTTTCTTTTCTTTCTTTTTCTCATCTTTGTCCTTTTTATCCTTATGCTTCATAAAACTGAACATGTTGCCTGTTTAAAGATGATTATTCAATCCAATATACTGTCAACACTTGATAAATAAATCTTAATTGCTTCCCTCACGTGCAGAAATAACCCCAGATACGGCTGCTGACAGCTTTCAGACATGAAAAACTTTGCGCACGAAATGCACTTGTTTTACGACATGAATAGTACTTGAGTTCACACTTAAATGACACAAATCATTTCAAGCAGAATGCTTTTTCAAGTATGTGAAATATGAGAGCATAAGTAATACAGTGTTCCGATTCATAGCGCATCAGTCAAAACTCCGTGGCCGAAACTCCGCCTGTGGGAGGTTCGTCTGTCTGCCGATTAGTGTGTGAAACTAGTCAATACTTCCCTTAAATTTGATACACCAGCTAGTACACATTAACAAACTATTGTTGTCATAAGTGATTAAGTTCCCCTTTAAACGCGTGTCGATCCTTTTATCCGTCCTTCAATGCTCAAGTGGTCTAATTTTCAACAAAATGGCCTCTACAGGAAAAGCAGTCGACTTCCGGTTTCGGTTTCATGGTGCAGGGATGTTTCAAAAGTTAGTAGTTTCCCCATTTCACTTGTTTGATTTTCAGACAGAAATAAATATGCATTCTCAGACGAATTTCAGCACAAGAATGACTTTTTTAAAATCTCCCAAACATTAACATGATTGAGTACAAAGCGACAATGTTCCAGAAAGCCATGCGTAACATAAGGATCGGGCTCGATATTCCTTGACCCATTGACAGGTAAACAGTGCATTTAGTCTGCTCTTTAAGTGATCACAGATCAGCAACAATGTCAACGGAAGACCGCATATTGAATAATATATATAAACCAAGTTTTTCAAATGTTCTTTCACCAGTGACATTACAACACATGGCTCGAGAATGGTTAAAAGAAGACACACCAAACTTTGATTATGGTGGATTTGTTGTTGGTGAAAAAGAAGAGACTGCTCTTCTCCTAATCAAGAATGCAGGTGTTTTAGCTGGAAAACCTTTTTTTAATGCTGTCTTCAAAGAATTAGACTGTGTTGTCTCATGGGAATATGACGAGGGTGAATTTCTAGAACCTATCCAGTGTGTTGCAAAAGTTACTGGTAAAGTTCGTCAATTATTGTTGGGTGAGAGAGTGGCATTGAATTGTCTTTCTAGGGCTAGTGGTATTGCTTCTCTTGCAAGACAGCTAGCTAAGATTAAGGAGACAGTTGGTTGGAAGGGTGAAATTGCAGGTACACGTAAAACAACCCCTGGATTTAGGCTGGTCGAAAAATATGCTTTAATTGTAGGATCTGTTTCCACACATCGACATGATTTATCCTCAATGATAATGTTAAAAGACAATCACATCTGGACTTCAGGGAGTATTACACAGGTATCTTACAGTCAGGTGCACCCTCAATGTAGGTGTGAATTAATCTGCTTTTAAACTAACCTAACCTTAATATAATTAACCTAAATACCATTAATTCAAACTCTGTAGTGTAAAATACTCTGCTAGACGTACATGTACACTTATAATTATATATATAAAAATTCAATGATTTGAAGCAGCTTTTTTGATACAGGACCTTATATTTCTATGATAGTTGAATGGGAAAAGAACAAAACGCATTTCTCATGCCTTTTTTTCTTGAAAGTGTAATGTTAATTACAAATGAGAAAAAAATCCTAAGAACACATTCACATTTATAAACATATTGATGTAAAATAATTCTTTATTTATAATTGTGATAAATATCAGGTAGATGTAAAACTAGTCGTACATTCTAAAGCAACATTGATGCATTACATTTTTGTTAAGGAATACCCTTTAGAAACCTGTTTAAGTTAGATACATGTATTTATGAGGTATATGTGTATTCAGTGTTATCAGTGCCAAAATTCCATATGCCTGCTAACTTTATTAAACCCTTTCAATTTAATGGAAAATTTCAAAGGTTGACAACCTCTCTATGTATCAAGAATGTTTACATATTACGACTGAATCAACATGGTACCCCAGCCATTTACATATATTGACTTCTTTGGAGAAAATTTAAAGGCCTGGAGAAAAAAAAGGCCCACAGATACTTTCATCATTCTTTACTATATAGCTGTTACATGAATAGAAATATGTAAAATAGAGAAACACATATGAACTGCCATATTTATTTACAAATTCAATTTCTATATATACTTTTAGCTTATGCTTACTGTATAATATGTACATGACAGAAGCTAGAACAAATTAGGAATGCTATTACCAGGTACTTAAATTCCAATTCAAAATCTTTCATTTCATTTTTAATCTGTATCCAATGATATGCTAATAATAATCTGGTAAAGTTTTACTAATTTTCTCTACTTTCAACAGCAATTTTTAAACATGATTCAATATTGCTTTAAAAATTAAAGAGCAAAGAAAGTTATTTCCATTTGCTGTATATATATGTATACTTTTAGGTTGTGTATGGAGTGGAACATTTACATAAGCTAGAAAAAAAATATTCATGTTATACTAAAATATCTTTTAATTTATTTCTTGCATCTAGTATATATACAGATTTTCCCTCCTTTCAACAGCAATTGTTCAACTACATGTGATATTTTGCTTTAAAGAGCAAAGAAAGTTACCATAATCTTTAAGCTCTTTACTTAGGTATAGAGCCAGTTTTCATGTATCACCTATACATGTACCATGTATAATAAATGTCCATCTTAATTATCAGTACATATTTTTAGCTTAGAGTCAACTACATGTACCTTTGTTAATCTTTGTGATTTGAACTGCAATCTAATTTAGGTAAAAATGATCAGTAATTAAGTTCTAGCTGACAAGTCAGATAATCCTAAATATGCCATTTCCTCAGTGCTGATATTGGTATCTATGGATGTATGGTAGACTTGCTCCAGATGCTGCAATTTTGACCTCTATTTTCCAAGTTGATTGATCAGGTTGAAGTTTTTCAAGGAAGTTCATTTCCAAGTAACTAGCGGTATAAGGCCTACATGGACTAAATTTTCATAGATGATGCATCAAGGAATGCTTACTTCCAGTTATGCTTCAGACGCTCCTTTTGAAATATGCATGGTTTCCAGTTGAGTGATCAGGATAAAGTTTTAGGAGCAGATTTATTTACAAGTACATGTAGTTAGTACATACAGTTATAGTATGATCAATGAGGTAGTTAGCAAGATTCCAGTTCCCCAAGGCCAGGACTATTTCCCATGGCCAAGGGAATCTTGTTAAACTCCCTCAATGATATATTGATCTTTTTTAACTGTTTTATTATACCAATCAGGGATTAGCTCACTTGACTAATGAAAGGCAAAACAGTCCATTCACAATTACTTCTAGGGAAATATGACATCCAATGATTTTATTTTAATAAGGGAAGAATCAGTAAAGGTATAATAATATACAGTTAAAAGTACATCATTGAGGGTGTTGGGAAGATTCCAGTTCCCCAGGGTCAGGACTATTTCCAGAGGCTTTGCCTCGGGAAATAGTCCTTGTGGAAGGAAACTGGAATCAACTGGAATCTAGCTGCTAACAATTAACCCTCAATGATATACTTATAATTGTTTTATTATACTGATACAAATTTTGCACCTCAAAATGGGAATTAGTTCTTTCAAAGCGATACCAATTCAAATTTTGAAGCAGGAATTAGCTCACTTGACTAAAGCACCACAATATGGGGATTAGTCCATTCACAGCAATTACTAGGGAATTACATGTATTCACATCTAACAATCTAAATTTAATCAGGGAAAAATCAGTAGAGGTATAATAATTTATACCCCCTCCCAATTTGCATGAATGATGTATAAAAGAATATATTATTCTAACAGCTTTATTTTAAATGCTGCAGCTTACCTATATTTTCTAGTTGGGTGGCTAAGTTAAATGATTTTTAAGCAGCATCATTTGTTCATACTTTTAAATCATACCTAGACCATTTGGTATTATGAAAAAAAAATTATGCAACTTGACTCCAGGAATGCATTCTAGCTCTGGATCTATATTTTCGAGATAATTTACAAAAGGCTTGTAATGTTGAACTCAGCTAGACTTAATTGCATCTTTTAAATGCATTTAAAACATTTATGTGGTATGACTTTGACTCACATAGATGACATTCATCAAGGCCAACTTTATAATCTGATTACCTTTGTTTTACTCCAACTAATATATAATAGTATATATTATACGTGTATGTGGTTATGGTTTAACATTCTGGAAAATTTCCCTACAAAAAGCTTTTTTAAATCCTCTTTAACAGATGGAAAATAACTCTTACGATTTTCAGGTATAAGTATGAATTGCAACACATCTGAAACAAGAGTCACTGGAGAAGTGAAAAACATCTTTGAAAATTAAATACTTTTAAATACCTTTTGATGTTATCGTTACTTTTGACTTCTAACTTTCGACACTTGGTGATTTTTACAGGCTGTTAAAGATGCAAGAATTGTTGGGGGATTCTCCTTAAAAGTTGAAGTAGAATGCCGGAGCGTAGATGAGGCATTGGAAGCAGCAGAAGCAGGCAGTGATATTGTAATGCTGGATAATTTCTCTCCGGAGGTAAGACTTCTCACCAATGCTCAGCTAGGGTGTAGAGTCACTATAGTTTTCTCGAATGCACAGGTATGGTGTAGAGTCACTATAGTTTTCTCGAATGCACAGGTATGGTGTAGAGTCACTATAGTTTTCTCGAATGCTCAGATAATGGCATAGATTGAGTCATTAGTTTTCTCGAATGCCCAGGTATGGTATAGAGCCTCACTTTCTCGAAAGCTCAGTTTGAAAATGATCATTCTTGTCTCGTTCCCTAGCTCTTGAAATTGTGCTCTCATTTTGTTTCATTTAAGTTCTTAAAAAGTGATACAACAATGTATTGTGGGGGGGGGGGGGGGGATGGAAAAATCTTCATAGTGAACTATGGCAAGGTGGTGTCAATTAATTAATATTGTATGAAGGATATTTTAATGCATGATGTCACAGCTTAAAAATATGCAGTCATCCTTTATTAGATAATATGTAGAAAAACCTTTGGGTTTTCAAAGATGGAAAGAAGTAGACAATGAAGTATTGGGAATGTTGTAATTTAATTTTTTAAAAAGTAGGCAGAAGCACACCCTGGCATTTGTCATATTCAAGGTCAAAGGTTAAGGTTAAGATCATCTCAGAATTTGATTTTAGAACATCTCCTGATTAATAAATTTGAAGATAATTAAAACTTGACACATGATAATAAACTAAATAAAGGCATAATAAAGGTCACCTGCAAAAGTCGAGCTAAGCACACCCGCTTAACAAAATGTTTGGAGTAAACCAGAAGGTCAATTAGACTCTAAAGTTCAAAGATCAGTTTTGCATTTTGCCTAAGGACATAAAATTATCTAATACAATGACAGATTCAAAAAGGCAACTTTCTGAATGTCTATTATAACTAAAACATACTCTATTTTCATCAACAGGCACTCCCAGATGCAACTGAAAGAATAAAAGACAAGTTTCCAAATGTTTTGATAGAAGCCAGTGGTGGAATTACGGAGTCCAACATACAAAAATACATGATACCAGGTGTGGATGTAGTGTCATTAAGCAGACTGACCCAGGGTTATGATGTTGTTGACTTCTCACTGAAAATTCAGAAGGAAGGAGTGGATCCAAGAAATTTACCTGTTAAATGATGAATAGGAGATAATTTTAAATGTTAATGATGAAGTACAGTGAATGGAGATTTCAACAAACTATCCAAATACTGGATTAAGTTCGTTTCTTACAATAGTTTTAGGAGGGAGAAAAAAATTGAGCTGTAGGCTTTATTTTCAAATGTTATGAAAATGCATTATTACAGTTGAACATAATAGATATCTCAAACACCAATATCTCAAATACCATGGATATGTAGAAATCAGTTGGAAGTCCCATTCACTTTTTCTCTCTGTATTTACCTCAATATCTCAAACCCTTCGTATCTTGAAGGTTTTCCTTGGTTCAATTGAGTTCAAGATAACAATTAAGGTTTAACTACATTTATTTAGCAAAGAATGTAATATTGTTTGCCAATTTGCTAGTCTTTATAATGTCTAGTCTTCAAAATTATGATGAGCAGAATGGTCTTGTAATATTGTAAAGCTGCCTGAATAAAAGGGTTTTTTTTATTTTCAAGACAGAATACTTAGGGCAGACATAATACATGAATTGCAATAAAGCATTTATCTTAGTTAGTTATAGTTTCCTTCTGAATTAACGGATGTTTTAATGTCCAGAGGGTGTGACAGCTGAATTATTACCATATCAAAGCGTTATCATATCAAATGTCATTCAACAGCTCACACATACTTCACCATGTTTGTCTATTGACAACATTGAAAGAAATATGCAAGCTAGAGTTTTCTCCCTTGTCATGTTATAGCATACTCAGCTTTACAGAATGAAGAATTTCATCAAGTACATGTACTTTACAAATTGGATTATTTCTTGCTTCAAGTTACATCGGAAAAAAAAAGAGAGGGTGGGGTGGGGTGGGGGGAGTCTAACTTCCTTATAATCTTTGTTGGTCTCGTCTCCAGATCGAAGCAAAGTTAATTTCTTCAGTCTTAATCCCTTATACAGTAATTTTCCAGCTGAAATTTTCTTCAAACAACAAAATATACTGTTCTTAAGAATCCTGACCTTATTGAGAGTTAATTCCTCCGTTAACTTTCATCTCTGATAACTGAACACACCCATCTATACAGTTATCAAGGATTATATTTACTCAAGTAGGCTTTGAAATATTCAATGTTCAGGTGTTATAATTTTCATCTTGTCCTAATACAATGAAATTTGTAATGATTTTCAGTCTTTTGAAGTGAAATTTAAAGTAAAATTCTGACATTTGCCATCGTTTTGTCAATAACAAACCTAATGAAGAAAAAACATTGCATCTGTGTGATCCTTGAACTATTATTTGATCATCACTACACTATTGTGACTTGTACTAGTACATGCATGTATACCAATTCAGTTAAGAAGAAATATAGGCTAGAGTGTGGGAGGGTAATTAACATATGTAATAGTTATGTAGACACTTAAGAGGGGGGTAATATGGAAATGGGGTCCTTGTAAAAATTCATATTTGGTGAGGCATAAGCTGAGCCCAATATGCATTTTTTCAAGGACCCCATATTTACCCTTCCTAATGTCTACATAACAAATTTATCCTGTTCATAATTTTATGACGTTACTTGGAAATGGACCTGCTTCAAAAACTTCAACATGGTCACTTAACTGGAAAAAGATACCATAGATCATATCCAGCATCTGAAGGAAGTCTGACACAGTGTAATGGGCATCCTTAATATGTGTACCAATCATGTAATTTTTTTCCAGGTAAGTCTTAGTTACTTGGAATTGGACCTGCTTCAAAAACTAACCTAGTTACTCATCTGGAAAATATACCATAGATCATCTTGAGCATCTGAAGCATGTCTGAAGTGTGCATCCCTTAATGCATCGTTCTTGCTACTATTATCACAAAAGAATGAAAAGTTACTTGGGAATGCACCTGCCCCAGAATCTTTAACCTGCTCTCTCACTGGCTTGTCTTGATTACACTTCTATTTTATTACTAGACCAGTGATATCCCACTCCTTTCAAATTTTGACCATAAATTTTTTACTTCATGAAAAGTGCAAGGAAAAACATGCTCAAACATACTGAAAACTTTTTTTTTCTGTGTATCACAATTTATGCAAAAATATTCCAGAACACTTATTTTTAATTTGCTAGTTTTATTTTTGCGATTCTCCCAGTGGTTTATTAAGAGTTATCTATGTAATCTACATGATAAACAACTAGTGACAATTTTATGTGAATTGATTTTTTGCTAACTAAAACTGCTCGCAAAAACTGGATTATTGCAAAAAATACCCATTCTTCAGTAGAAATACTTTCAGATATAAAAGTTTTTCAACATGCTTTCTCAATATATCAGTCTTAAACACTCCGACAACCATTAATGAATTCTACCAAAAATTTTAAAGGATATAAACCTCACCATAGTATCTTTGCCCCTTTAACTGTACGCAAGGTACTTTTGTTGCACTTATAAAACAAATAATACCAAGTACTAGTAAGATATACATGTACTTGGATTGTAAAAAGCACGTTTTTCAAATTAATACCTAACAAAACTTTTTTTCCACCACTGTCTGTTGGACCTAGAGGTCAATAAAAATTACAGGCTCCATTGGGAATTCATCAGCTCTCTCCCTTCCACTTTCTATACATTTACAATTATCAGAAAAAGGGTTCTAAATATTAAAATGAACTGATTTCAATTTTTTTAAAAAAATGTTGTCTATGTTTATCAATCCCAACTTCTCATGCCTTTCTAACGAGAATTTATACAAGTGAGTAACCCAGTGCAATTGAAAGTATATCTTAAATTGGAATGCATTTAGGAGATAAGAATTTTCTACAGGCCAGCAGACTTTTTACTGGCCTCGGTCCTGTGAGTTTTGGTAAAGACTGCTGATTAATGACTTTGTGTAGGGAATTCAAGCCAATTCCAGGTTCCAAAACCATTAAATGATTGCTCGGCATGCCTTTCTCCAAGGAGAATGTAAAATCATGGGTTTCCAATAATGTAGTTTCCACACTTACAGCATTTTAAGTGAAAAGAATGAGAACACAACATTTCAGTAGTTTTTTTTTTATTTTTTGTGTTTTTTTTTTTAACTTTTATTCTACAAAAAGTCAACTTGGGCTGTTCTTTAGTAATAAAATCAGTTTGCTGTCCTGCAAACACTTTTAAGAACTGATATCACATTATATGCGTCTTGTAACTTCTCTCTCTCACACTTTCACACACTATCTAAGCTGGAAACTGTGAACACTTCTCGGGGAACATGTCAAAAATCTATTTTAATTTATCAGGTCCTCTTTTAAGAGCTGGCACAATTACTTTTTTGGCCTTGAGTTTAGAAATCAGAAGAGAGGAAAACCTGTAAAGAACAAGAGGAAATTTTTACCCTGACAACAAAATGAAAATTTTATGCCATGAAAAATTATTTGTAAGTCACGTGCAAAATGTGTTAAGCATGAACTAAAAAACACTAATCTCATGCACAAACACCATAAAAGCTTCATAACTTGGATGCAAATTCAGCAAAAATATAAATCTTGTGACATTAGTCACTCTAAAACAAGGCCCTAAGATTGCCCTGGTTATAACAAAAATTAAACTGAAAACATTTTATACAGAAGTCAAAATTTATAAATTTCTTCTTGCAAACCCCCTGCATTAATTGCTTGCATAGGCCAAATGCTAAATCAAGCTTCTTTTCTATTGTTTTTCTGAATAAAAAAATACTGTACCTCTTCCCAAGTCATGTTGAGCAGAATATTCTGATTAACTAACAATACAGAAATTCAAGTTAAATCAACTACCTAATAAGTACTTACAGAAGTATCTTATTTTTTCTAAAATTCTCCATTTTTAATGGTTTTGTTGATATGGTGGCACTGTCGCCACAGGTGGAGGACCACTTGCAACTGAAAAACAAATGAAGCAAGCATACAGTGAACAGAGGAGGGGGGCAAACTCAACAGCTTTAGAGTTAGGGGGTTAACTCCAATGTCAGGAAATCAACTGAATCAGTAGTAGGATTCAAAAGAAAGGCAACTAAGCATTCAGCAATTCAAAGATATGAAATGGAACTTTGTTTATCTCCCATTGTTTTGTCAATTTTTTTCAGGTAAACAATTACTTCAAAAATGCACATAGAGAGATCAGTCTGGCAAATATTAACAATTTAAGGTGGGTTTTCTCAGAAAAAGACCCTGCCTGAATAATTTCAGCTGTCAGATTTTTTTTTGTCTGTTTTGTTTTGTTTTTGCTTTTTGAAGCCCCAACAGAACAAGTATCTATGCTCGGAATACTTCGTATGGGAATCCAAAGAAGGAATGTAACCTTGCACATTTTTTAAAACATAAACCATGCAGTGTTAAAAAAAAATAATAAAACCTTAAAGCCAAATAAGCAATTGACATGCATTTTCACAGCTCAATATAGCTCCTTGCAAAATCCAATAGGATGCAGTTAGTGCTCATTCCAGATTAGAATGTCTACTCTTGTATCAAGTGCACTGAACAAATATATTATAAATACACAAAAATAAGATATTTGATAAGATGAAAATAAGATATAAATAAACATACTTTTAAACTAAATATATTCTTCAATAATATACATATATATTTATACAAAGAAAAATACAATGTTGCACAATTGTAAACAGATATTCTTGACAAGACTATCCATCTACAGGAATTTCATTGTCTCTGCATGAATTTTAATTCTAATTATTAGTTACCATGGTAGTATCTTTTAATAACTGCTGAAAACTTATTAATTTCCTAATTCTATTCATTGATCATCGAAAAATGAGTCCCCACCTTGTGGAACAAACTGGTGGACAACATTAGTAGAAGGATTAGATCCTTGATACCCTGCAGGCATTCCTGTTGGTTGCATCATGTGTTGTTGGTTGGGACCTATTCAACGACAGGTGGTAAATATCTTGTGCAATTTTTTTCTGTTTCTTTATAAAAGGTAACACTTATTATCAAACAAAAAAGAAAAAAAAAATCTGTTGTATGCTTGTGCCAAGTTTTATCTTAATTTACTCTGTATAATTGATATATTACAACTCATCCTCAACAGTTATGGATATGATCCACTAAAATAAAATAAATGCTGATAACAATGCAGTAATGATAGAAAACATGCAGAAGACTAACCTCCCATGTGTTGTTGAAACTGTTGGTTGTGTGCATGATGAGGCTGCACTTGTCCAGGCTGGGGACTAGGCATGACCACAATCTGTGCCCCATGGCCCAGCTGAGAGGAGGGCCCTGCATGCATTGACTGGTTGCCACTGGTTGGCATGTGTTGCTGTGTGTAATGCTGGCCTGTGGTGCCCTGCTGGAAGATGTGGTGCTGGGAGACATACGGATAAGGATTGTGCATGGTTTGTGGAGACTGATTCTGCGGACTGGGGATCAATGGCGGATGTCCCTGGATGTTAGTGGGTGCCATGTGTGGATAAGGTCCTCCTGCTGGCTGGGGTGTGCCGGAGTTTGGTGGCCGCCCCTGTTGATGTGTTTGAGAGTTTCCATGCTGTTGTACTGGACTAGGAGCTGGGTGTGTTATAGGTTGAGGTTGCCCTCCTTGTTGATTAGCTTGACTGCCCATATTGTTTGTTGCCATGGGCATGTGGGCTGGGTACGGAAACTGAGCAGCTGGAAGGTGAGCTGGCATTGGTTGAGCTTGACCAGGCACTGGATTTAATGAAACATCAAAATTACTCACCATAAATATATACATTTACTTGATTCAGTGTATCATAAACTTAGTTACAACCTTGGGTCCGGAACCCTTAACCCAGGAGACTTGAATTTCACACTTAAGGTAAGGCTAACTGCTGGATATAACCAGTCTCCTTAACTTTGCCCCCACCCTGGGTCCTAAATTTTGAATTCTGGGAAAACAATTTTTTCATTACTATCATAAGGTTTGCCTGGTAGATGTCCAGGAAAAGGAAATTTTCAAAGATACACTGTACATGTATATTGAATTTTCAATGCATAACCAACCCGTACCTACTTGGCCTGAATCCTAGAACAAAGATTCGTGTAATTTATAAATCAGCAAATAGCAAATTGTTTGTCTGTTAGATGTCCAGCAGTGAAGAAAATTTTAAATGTAATGAATTTTTATTGTACAATCAACTTAGCTCCTGCCATTATAAACAAGTACATTGGAAATTAGGAAGAAAACTGTCTATCACGATCATGTAAACAGATTGCCTAAGTGTAACGAGATTTCAAAATTTTTTATCAACTTAGCCGTAACTGAAGTCTAAACCTTAAGCCTGGTCACAAATTTCAAAATGCCTTTTAAAAGTTGACTGTTCTTTAAATTTATTGGATAAAATTGACTAAAGAAACATGTACTTTTAAGGAAAAGATAGCAGAAGGACTGGGATGACCTATACAACGGACTTATTCAAACTGTGGAACATACTGTATTGTAACTTACTAAATATTGTTGAATGTTGGTGTGATTGACTGGACTGAGCACCATGTGAAGTAGGCACCATAGGCATAGATGTCGGTGTAACCATTCTCCCCGTGGCTGCTGGCATAGGCATCACTGCCTAAAAATATTGAAAAAAACAAATCTACACACAGAGTTCCTCTTCAGGATCAATTAAAGGCATGATTTCTTCAGGGGCACCTGTTGAATCTTTATTCACTAAGTATAAATAATAAGGACACATTTCATATTCAAACACTTTCCCTTAGGCCATCCTTAAACAATTGTTTGTTTGGAATTGCCGTCTGGGAGGTTTCAGACCCAGAAGGGAGGGGGGAAATTATTTTTTTTTCAAAATTAAAAATTGATGATAAAAATCTCAATAAAGAATGAACACATTATTTTCTGCCTTTTTGTAAAGGGTATCTCCCATCAACCTGGAACCCAGTTTTGATTAGACCCTACACTTATTAAGTGATTGGGTAGCACATGTGGTAACAGGCCAAGTATTGATTGAATAAAAAAAATCCTTATTTTTGGGCAATAAAATTTTTCCAGGAGGGGTAATTTTAATGAGGCGGGAGGCAATTCCAAACAAACAATAATTTTATTTTGGCCTTAAGTGTGATCACATTCTATTGGTACCTGATAGTTATGGAAGTATGGTATGTAAGGTTGCTGGGCCTGTACGGTGGCTTGGTTAAATAAAGGCTGTCCAGTAGCAGCCTGGGCAGCAGTCAGATCATTCCTGGGACCAACAGAAACCACAGCTGAAAAAGACAACAAAAACAACAGCTGAAAAATAAAACAAACTACAGGACCATGAGGAAGCTCACAAAATTATACCCCTATTGCTATTTTTTTTAAAAGTGTCCAAAGATTTTTTTTTATATAAATGTTACATGAACTTGCCAAAAAGACCTTGGTTCAAGAAAATGAGACACCTTCTGATGATAGGTAATCTTTGTGTGAAGTATGAACTTCCAATGTTTCTCCATAAGAAAGTTTTGGACAAGACAAGATTTTTCACTTTTTCTGCCAATGACCTTGAACTTGCCATAATGATTTTATGTCATGGAGTTTCCATGTTCAAAGTTATGAACCGGCCTGATTGTTATGTTCAGGCAGATATAGACTTCATTTGCTGTGATGTTGAAAATGGACATCCTGTGAACTACACACATTACAAAAAAAAAAATCAATGCAATCAAATATTCCTATAAGAAATAGGACAGCTGGTAGTGTTGCATTGCTAGTAGGGATAGGTATCGCCAAAAATTTCGTAATGTAATATATCACAATTTTCCCCAAAAATATCGCAATAATATCGTGATATTATTATGTGCAATTTTTACTATAATTTTAAATGAATTTCTTACAGATATGCTTCATTTTTATTTACATACCGTATAAGCAGAAAATTTTAGCGATGATTGAATTTTGGCATTTTTAGCGAGGGTGTTGAGATTGCTAAAATTAAATATCGCTAACAATTTATTCTGCATTAAAGGTTGCCGTTATCTCTCTATGCACCAAGAAATCGCTTAAATTACTTCTCGCCAAAATTAAATACTGATTTTCAAGGACAAATTGCTAAATTTGTGTCTCACTAAAAATAACACTTATACAGTAATATAAAGCATGTTTGGATGCCGCCGTTTTACCATTTTCAACACTTTTTACACTTCTTGTAATTGTTATTTAAAAGTTTAAACAAATATATGAATAATTTCTGCAATTTATAATAATTATTAATTATTATAATTGGTATTTTAGTCTGCATTTCACGATACATATCACAAAATAAAAATCACGATATACATGTACCAGTATACCAATAAAATTGTGCATCAATAATTGCTGGTGAATAGAATTCTTTAAAGAATCTGAATCTAAATGATGTCCACATGACCTACCTCTTTTGACCGTCTTGAAGTTTTGAGGAGAAGGCTGGGGTGCTTGGTTGACCACTGTGGGAGGCATCACAGTGTATGTTGGCATATAAGGATGAGGCATAGGCTGAGAGATCTGCTGCATCATGCCCGGGTTTACTGGACTCTGGGTCTGAGGCCTCTGAGGAGGAGTAGGCACCTGCTACAAAACATATCCAAACAATATTTATGCTTTTTGTAACTTCTTATACATACAATGTATATCCAATCCAGGCCCGCTGAAAATTAGACGGGTGATCTTGCTATTAACTAGGCTTTTATAAAATGGCAAAGGACAAAATAATATCTACCTGTATTGTTGTACATATACATGTATATACAACTTAAAAACACATAAATGAAAGTGGGGATTAATCTTAACATTTATAAATTGCTTTTTAATCTACTTTAAACAAAACTTATAGGTATTTTTCCTTGACTATGTTGGGTGAATTCTACATGATCTAGGAAATTAAAAAAAAAACACCTGTGGCCTAAAGTTTAGGTAAACTGTTTTCAAAGAAGCAACTATAAAATGTGCAAAAATGTTGCTGATCGACTGATTGGAGTAAACAGTGATGTCATCAGTCACTCAGGTGACTTAAAATTTCCATAGGTAAGGATGGCAACTGACCAAAATCTTTTTGAAATTCACTTACCTGTTCCCTTCCCTTCCCCATCACAAATTCTTTTGCCAAGGGATTCAGGGTTGACCTTTTTGTAATGCTGAAACAAAAAAAAGCATATCATTGTTTAACCATTTCGCTACAGAATTTCCTCCTCATATTAAACATAAGTGAAACAAATCCTCGACATACTAAAACACATAAGAGAACATTATTAGAGCTAAGATACACTGTACTACAAGTCCACTTTCCTCTCTCAAATATTTTATGCTTCTCAAATATTTAAAACTTATAAGCACTCGTAACCGAAATAAAGCCTTTCAGTCTTCCTGGAAACAAACCCAATGACATATATTACCTATATCTCTTTCTTTGTAATACATGATTCTCTCTATCACTTACTCATCCTTCTCTGTTGCATTCTGTGGCTCAGCTGACTTATTTTCAGTAACAGGAGTTTCCTCTGCTGCAGGCTGGGCTGGGGGCTCTTCTGTAGGGGCAGCAGGTGGAGCAGAGACAGCAGCAGCAGGGGCTTCATGTACAACAATGTCTTCTGGCTTGGCTTCTACTGTCTCCTTATGATCCTCTTTCTTTCCATCAAACTAAACAAAAAAACAACAACAAAGTTACATCAACTCTACTTTCAACTTCAAATATTAATTAAAGATGGAACCATGAGTTTCTGTATAGACTACAGCTCTACTAAACTGTATTTATAATAAAGAGGAAAGAATCAGCTGAACATGAAACCCCCCTTTTTTAGATTTACACTCACAGGATTAAATATCCTAAACAAAAATTGAAGGAGGAGTAGTATATTCAAAGATTTCTGTACTCTTGGTTTGGAATACAAGCATCAAGATTAATGAAGCTGTTTATCTATTAATTTTTTTAAACTGCATTTTAAATATCAATTAACTACAGCAGTACTTACACTGACTTTGAAATTTTTTTTAAAATCCTTCAGGTCATTAAGAACATCTGTACGATCTGCAAACAAAAAGAAAACATATGTTTCATACATACTCAAAAAAAAAGTGATAGAGCCAAAAAAAATTAATACTCAGTTTCTCAGGAATTATATAAAAATATCTATTTTTAATTTTTTTTCAAAGAATCTCCCTTTATTTTGTGCAAAATTCAAAAAGCACTAGGAATTTTTACAAAAAACCAAGGGAATATTATGTTTGCCATTATTGCTGAGTAGAATATTTCATTAAAATAAAACACTGCATCAAAAGGGTATGAACATGGGGAAAAGAAAGTGCAAATATACATGTACATGTATATAAGCAATTTCAAAGATCACATTACCTTTCAATACTGTGGAATCATCTTGGTTCATGGGGGACCAATGTTTATGGATTTTGTGGGTCACCGTTACCCACAAATTTACATTCCCATGAACATGTATTTTGTAAACATATTAATTCACCGAATCTACAGTATAAACAAGTAACCTACAAATTACGTCCCCATGAACAAGTGAAATTTTGCTTGCCCTCAAACATTGACCCCAACAAATTAAAATGATTCCACAGTATATATTCCATGCATGTAAAATTTTGGGAGATTTCTTTAATATTGATCCCCCATCCCCAAAACTGCCCATCTCAATAATAATTTTATAACAATATGCCCATGGACTTTAATGGTCATGAGTAATTAGACCATCTGTACCCTCAGTATAACTAAGTTGACACAATAAAATATTTGAGCAATTCTCCTACCACAAACTCATAATCTGTTCTTCCATGGAAAAAAAAAAATAAAAATAACATTCAAAGTGCTGAAAAATTGATCAGGTAGGGACAATTTTTGAGAAGTTGGTAGGAGTACATGAAAAAAAAAATTATTTTATTGTTGGCTTAAAGAAGATGTTTAAAAAAATTCACTTGCTTTTGATATACCACTGCTTGTTATTGCTAAGCATGTACATTTTGTCTCCTAGATGCTTGTTAATAAATATGACTTTTTTCTTTTAAGATGAATTGCATTATCACTTCTAACTGCAAAACAGCCCCACCTAAGGGCTTGAACCCCTTGGTTAGAAGTTCAGAATTTCACAGTTTGAGAATTCCCTTGCTTGTTTTGCTAGAATCACTTGGTTTGTGTCCTCGATACTTGTTAGTAAAGGAGTTTTTTTTATGAAATTGGCCTCGTAGTTTCACAGAACAAGTTCAAAATGTTTAAAAGTTAAGCTAATGGATGATGAATTGATGGATGGCCAGTAATAGCAAAATAATGTTACCTGAGTGACTTGGGTGACCTACAAAGTGCCCAAGGGTCTTTGCATCTGTTTAATTCTATGCATCATTTTAAATTAAATCACTTAGAATTAAAAATACTTGCGGAGAGTTCAAAATCTACTTACTTCTGTGAGCTGAGCTCCTCCTGTCAGGCTTTATGGGTACAGGAGACGTGTGGGGAACAGGATCAGGTTTCTCAGGGGCTACATGTGGAGTCACCGGTTCTTGTTTAAGACTAGATTTCACATTAGTGTCTATATCACTTCTCTTTTCTTCAGGACGTCGGTCCTCTTGTCGTTTGTCCCTCTCCACACGATCATCTGCTTTCCTTTCTTCTGACCTCCTGTCTCTTTCATCTTTATCTAGAAAATACAATTAAAATCATAAAAACCTAAAATCATACAAAAGTACTTCCAAGTAATGCAATGCAGGATGACTAACCTATCAGTACATTTTAGAGCTGGGACAATACAACCTTTTCTATATCGATACGTATCACGATATTTGAGCCACGATACGATATGCCTAACGTATCACAATATGTTGAATTGATTATAAAATGTTTTTCGTATTAAATTGAACGAAACATTTCTTCACAAATAAGAAAAATTTATTCAAAGAAGTTGTATATTTGTTCTAAAACAAAATCATTTTACCTAAGTGGTATTAATTATCATGTATTTCATATTTATATTTAGCATATTTATTTTATATATTTAACCCAAAATGTTAAGTAAACAAAGAAAAACATAAGTCAGATTTTTTTTTTGCAATATTTTGATATTTCTTCACACATATCGATATGTGTATCATCCTCACATTAAATCGATATTATCGATATCTCGATATATCGTCCCAGCCCTAGTACATTTACTACTTACTTGAATCCATTTCTGAATCAGTATCCCTAACCTTAACTTTAAATTGCTTACAATGCTGATTAATATTGTGAAGATTATTAAAGCTGAACTTTTAGGTTTTTACAACACCATAATAAAATGACAGTTGAATCATTTTCCCCAAATGTCTTTCTACCATTTATTTGACCAATTCTATTTTAAGAAAAAAAATCTTCCAGATCTTTTTCTTTACATTGCACATAAATAGACTCCTAAACTTACCGGCCAATCCATTGAGTCTTGGCTCCTCTGACGAGGTCTGATGATGAGGGGGGTGGTGGTGGTGGGGAGGGGAGGAGTGATTCGGATTCGGATGGAAGTTATGCGGATGGTGGTGATGAAGATTTTGTAACCGTGGTGGAATTTGACTCTGAGGTCGCTGGTTCGATGAGTAACCCCCTCGACCCCTGTTCCCCTGCATTCCAGAGCGTTTGTTCGGGGGGATGTACCTGCAAGATCATAACAAATAAATAAAACCCTATATCATCTGAACAGAGAAAAACATAAGTCAAAAATTTTTCTGACAAAAATTATTCCACTGAAATGAAATGGTCACTACAGCTAATCTTAACAAATAATCACAAAGTTCTTTATTTACAAAAAAGCTGCAACAAATACAGGGAAAAAATTCTTTTTTAAAATCAAGTCTTAATTGTTTCCAAAACTCTTATCTAAACAAATGCAAACTATGTCTTACTTTCCAGAGTTTCCAGAACTCAGCATATTAGTATTATTTTCATTCGTCCTTTTGACAGCACTAAACTTTTCCTCCTCGTCACCATCCCCATTCTCTAGTGAGATGTGCTGCTTGTACTGCTCACTCTTCTCGATTTCATTGGCTAGTCTCTCAGCCTCTTCTTCACGATTCCTGAACTCCTTGGTATCTCTCTTCTCAAGGGGTGTCCTGAAAAGTTTAAAAACAATAAAGAATCTCCAATGCAACACCTCATATTGAAACACCATTGCTCATAATGGATGCAATACTTACGTATACTGTGTTAAGCTATCATCATACTTTGACTGTACATTGAATTTTTCTTCGTTTGTTCGGAACATTTCATTTGGATCCCATCCATTCTGAAATTGAATGAAATAACAAATTTTGAAAATAATATTCTCTGATTATCTTAATACACTACAATTAGACAATAAACTTTCTTTTGGTTCATGTGTACTTACAGTGGGCTCTCTCTCTAATCCTCCTAGCTCCTCCCCTTCTCCCCCTTCCCAAGGCTGCAACACTTTCAAATCTGCCTCTGAGTGATTGCTATTGCATTTGCTTATTGCTGAGTCTGTAAATGTATCTGCAAGAAACAACCAAATCCATTATATGTGACTGTATTTAAAAGACACATATGTAACATATTTTAAAGTTAACGGTTTAACAAATATTTGAAAGTCACAGGTTGTACGTTAGAGACATCTGTTACCTTGCAATCTATGAAATATGAAATTAAAAAAAAACAAAAAAACGACATTTGAAGTCACAGGATTTAATTTGGGCTTGGAATGAAACATTATGACAAAAAAAAAGAAAATAAATCAAAAGAATAATTATATATATCAAAATACATTTTCTGCAATGCATGTTTTAAAACATTCTGATACATCATTAATACATTATACATGTACATGTATAAGCAAAGTTTTCTGATTTTTTATTTTGCTACCTTTAACAGCATAATCTAGATCAACATCCACAGAGGTGATAGAGAGAATATCTGACATGTTGAAGATGACTTTTTCAATCAGTCTATCCTTGGAAGGAGTTGTATTATTGGTGTTGTTGTTACTACTCTCTTCATGTTTGTGGGCCATTTCTAACACCACGTCCATCTTCATCAACAAAACAAAACATTACCATACAAAATCTAAATCTCAAAATGTCCTAACAATACTAAATTATTATCTACACAAATTTTGTGAGATAAAATTTAAAGATTTCTATAATGTGCCAGATATATTTGTATACACACAATTATGTGTGTGATTTCTTCCATTTGTCTACAATTTTGCTGCAGAATCTTTTGACATGCATCATTATAAACAAACTTTGTCCATTTTTAAAGTCATTAAAATCCTCTGCTTCTTACAACTGATTAACCTCATTTAAATTCTGTACATTGAGGATAGGGGAAGGGGAATAAGAATGAAACTACAGAAAACTTCGTCAGTTTTTAAATATGATTTGCTGCAGATCAATCTCATTATTTTCTCACCTTAGGACTGTTTGTTTTGAGAATACCATCATACACACCACCATTCTTTACTTGTAACTGAACAACACAACCCTGTCAAAAGTTTTAAATCTGATAAATTCTGGGAATATTTCATTACAAATTCCAATTCTGCAGTTAGACAATAACCATAAAAGTCTACAAAGAAAGATTAACTGACTTAACAATCAGTTTCTTATGTAATTCTAATTATGAATTGAGACAGCTTAAGATTTATAAGTGTAACAGGAAAGGAGAAAATGTATGGCTGGCCGAGGAATCGAACCAGGAACCACTGCATCTCTAGTTAGGTGTTCTACCAACTGAGCCACCCAGGCCAATATCCACAGCCCAAACCATTACATAAGATAAATGTATTAAATTTACGAAAATAAATCTAAAAATTAAAAAACTGTAGATAATCTTTGAATATTTGGAGATCTACATACATAAATTTTTATAAAAATTGTAAAAAATACCTGTATACAGTTGACTTAAAAAAGAGACCTCCTGCATTGATTTCCTTAGATTCTTTTTCATAAACACTGAAATGAATCCAAATACTTACAACGAGAGAGGCAAGAAGATGCGAGAATCTGGGATTCGAGTAAATTCCATCAAACTGTTAAAAAAGAAGAAAAATCCCATTTTAACTTCTTAAATCAAATCACATTTTCTACCATGTGTATATCAATTTTTAATCAAAACCTGCTAGAGTGTAGAAATCTGCTTTTCTCTTAAATATTCAAAAATCAATACCATTATAAACATTCACTGATATTGCCATTGTGAAAAAGCAACAGCTCAGCTGATTGCGAAAACAAAGCTGGCACGTGTCCAAAAAATACACAGGTTGGCCTCTTTAGATGTATTTCCCCCAAAAATCTGATCCAATAATATCATTATAACATTTCTTTGTTTAGTACTTGGTACAATGTCCTAATAAACTGCCATAACCATGATTCACATAATAAATCAAAATGTACATGTATCCTTAAACATGCCGAAAAGACTTTTATGATGAATTCCAAACCCTCATGATGATTATAAATATGTCTGTGTCAAAATGTTCTTCAAAAGGTGTACACATGTACTTAAAAAAGAAATTTGATTTCTTGAACCATTTATCCCCCCCCCCCCAAAAAAAAATTCAAACAAGGAGTATATTGAACTGTTACTTACTGCTATATTTTTGTCATAGCCTCTAGTTCTGTTGTTATTTCTGTAAAAATAAATATTTAAAAACTGAATATAAAATACATTAATTTGCAAACATCTCAAGATCTTATGAACTAAAATTCAATATTCCATTAAATGTGTCACAGGGCCCTTAAAATTTGAGAATGGAACTGAGACCATGATATTAGGAAATGAAGTGACATTTGGTCTAAAATATGGAATGTCAGTATCTACACATTAATGTAGAAAAGACACTCTTATAACAAGTGTAACTGAACTATATATCGATTGAATGACATTCAAATGTTGTAAAAACATTATTCATTGCTGAATAAAAGTCCCTATGTTTGAAGAGTGTTTAATGCAGAAATACTGCAGAAGTTTAAGTTTGTACAGACCCAAAAAATGTTACCTTTAATTTGCAAGTCTTATTTATTTCAATCAAGAAATGTGTAATTACGATCATGTATCTTAATTTTGATCTTTGTGTCATACCTACAATAATACCTATAATCACACGTGTTATCCTAACTTTCATTACTTTGAAAGCTTTTAAGTGCAATGTCCTCAAAACTGTAATATTTAATTTGCATGTGCCTTGAAAATTAGCAGGTCCTTGTTTTCCAGGTTCATGTACTTGCATAATACTGAATTATAATTAACCAATACTTTTAGTAGAAAGTTCAAGGAACTCTATATTATGACCTTGAACTTTAACATATTTTGCATTTATTTCCATGACTTATAATTTCAAGTTCTGCCAATTTGTCTCCAGTAAAATCCACCTGCTAGACACTGTACAACCAGTGATTTTTTTTTATTCCAAATTTAGGTCCAAATATCGGCGATCGGCCCTTTCCCCTGTCAAAAATTACCAAGTTTTTCCCAATTTAAGTTGCTTTTTCCCCAAAATAAAACCATGATGAAAATATAAAGACAATCATTGACAACTTTCAAAGAGTAAAAAAAATAAGAAAGTTATAAAATTTAATGTACATGTAGAACTGTGTCCAATTTGTTATTTTATAAGCAATACATTGAATAAATGATGTTAAAATTACTTATATATTTCATTTTACCTGTAAATTAAAGGTAACTACAATCATATTGATTTTTCCCAAGTTGACATAAATGTCGATGATTTTTCCCAATTGTAAAGGCCCAGGCCCCTTTCAAAAAATGTAGAAAAATCACCGACAACCAGGGTTGCAAATAACCACTTGCCCACTCACAAATGCGAGTAATTTTGCCTGTGGGTGACCAACTCTTGAAGATGTTATCGCCCACATGGCAAATAAGAATTTTAACAGACCTTTTCCAAAACCAGATCGTGGTTTGGTTCTACTATAAAAAGCACTTTCCTTTTCACCGTTTTCTTCCTATAAAACATCTTCAAGACCCAGAATCGTGTCGATGATATGCTTTCTTTAAAGTATGAAAATTCCTTTAACAATTATTTAATTTTCCTTTTTTTATTCACAATTAGCAGCTTTATATTCATTAATTTTCCTCCTCAAATAAGAATGTTGAAGACGTTTTCTGATTTTTTGCTGCTTACCGTGGGTTAAAATATTACACGTTATGAACTTTGAAAGTGGGTAATCTAAACTTTCTGTAATTTTGCGATAGAAACATATAATTCAAAATACATGGCATTGCCTTGAAGTGAATGAAAACATGGAATTTCATACAAGTGATGTCAAAATCTGCAGGAAAAATTAAAAAGAAATACTGTGGAGTATAAAGTATTTTTCTCCAAGATTATCTATAAGAAAACTTAAAGATTTTTTTTTACAGAGTGAACAGAAAATTGTGGGCGCCAAGATATCGATGTGAACTAGTAAAAGTTTTTGTAGTCTGGGCCCCACATGGCCCCTAAGGTTTAAAATGTTATTTGCAACCCTGTACAACATATTTATTCTACCTAATTGCTGGAAACTACTGTTGTTCTCAAATATACTGTTACTTTAAGAATGTACTTCCTTATATAGCCTATTCTTTTGTGATCACTATAGATCTGAATTACTTGCACTTAATGTATACTCAAATAGTATTTCAAAAGAAATCAATTGATTGTGTAAACTTAGATCTGCATAATTGCTAGAATCCATGGTAACCGGGGATGTAATAGGACAATCATTAGGATAACACACAATTCTAAGTTCAATAAAAAAATAATATACCCCTCCTAATTGTTTACATTGAGCTTTACAACTTGAATTATAAATGGTCAAAGAATATTAAACATTGTATAAGACTAATCATGTCTCTGCTGTTCTTCAAAGGAAGATTTTTTTTTCCATATCAAGGTCCCACCTTAACCCGAGGTGACGGAGGACATGATTTGGACAAATTTGTATCTCCACTATTTCAGGAAATTTCACTTTAGTATCATTTATTCTGGCCCAGTTGTTATTGAGAATAAGATGGGTTTTTTTAAAAAAAAAAAAAACAACCTATTTTTTTGCCTTTTCTTGATTATCTCCCCTTTCAAGAGGGTGTGGTCTTTCATTTCCCCCTTCACCTAAGAATGCTTTGTGCAAAGTTGGTTAAAATTCATAAGTGACTGGAAAAGATGCCGAAAATGTGGAAAATTAATAGACAGATGGACAAAATTAGAAAAGCTCCCTGAACCCTTTGGTTCATGTTGTGATTTATATAAAAAAAAAAATCCTGTGAAGAGCATTGTAAATTTACACAGTCTATTCAAGAGTTGTCCAATTTTCTAAAACACTCTCAGACATCATGGACATTTGGTCTGACACTGTGAAAGGTTCTGTCAGACTGGACAAAGTTTTGCAAGACCAGATACATGTACCTTATTTTGTAAAAAAGAAAAATAAATAAATGCACAAAAAATAGTTGTATCACACACTTTACTTTTCTTACTGGTAGAGAGCCTAGTTAGCAAATTTGATTAGCCATCTCTATTGTTTACATGACCATCACCTGTGCATCCCAATTCCTCCAGATCTTTAAAACTTAATTTGCACCATGTATAATTTTTAAAGCAGTCATTTGGACCGACATTTTCTAGTAAGTTATGTCTGTCCAATGTTTTACTGGCCTTTCAAACAGGAGGGACAGTCTTCAACAACTCTGCTATTTCAATTTCCAAACAAAAATCTTTTCAATTTTATAATGTACCCGGTACTATTTTAAAACATTTATTCCTTAAATACAATTTCGAACAGCAAACTTTGATCTTTGATTACCATTGTAATGCAATCTGTAACATTAAATGTTATACCTCCAAAAAAATGTCTTTTGAAACATTTACTGTTACAGTTTTTAATATCCAATGTTCACCAGTCAGGGGTGAGACTGAAATCCGTCATTTTAAAATGATGATTTTTAGTCATAAAATAAAATTTTTATTATGACTTAAACTCGTCATTTTTAAGAAAATGACCAAAAACAGTCATAAAAATTTAGAGTGTTTCTAGAATACCGATCGAGTTACCTCTCTTTGAAAAATGTTAGATCCACCAACCGAAAAAGGACAAAAAACATCGTAAACAAACTTCATTTCTCTAATACAGTTGACTACAATACTGGTTATGTTGACAGTACAAATTTCCCAAGCAAAAATAAGAGTGGAAGAGTTATTTGTCAATTTATTTGCATTAAATAGGAAAGAAGACGAAAATGACGATATTCTGTCTTTTTTCAAAATATAGGGGGGTCTGGGCGCACTGAAATACCTCGCTTGTTTTGCGGGGCGCACTACTTTTTTCTGGATTTAACTTTTTGTCGAGACTTTTCTCTACAAGTATGTATTCTTCCAGAAGGTGTACCATATGTTTTTATAGGGCTAAAAGCCATGTAAAAATGGCAAATTAGTTCTACCAAAATTAGACCTTTTACCGCTATATAATAACTTTCACCTTCCATGTTGATGTTCTAACGCACATGGTCGGCAGTAATTAGTGACCCGGATGAAATGAAACTTGCGTAAACACTCTTCTTCCAGCGGTGAATTCAAATTTTGCTTTTATGTAACCAGGATAGAAGAATTAAGTTGAAAAAGAAAATATGACGATAGTAAGTCATATTGACAAAAATGACGAAAATACGTAGTTAGTAAATATGACGATTATCCATCATTTTTCAGAAATGACGGATTTCAGTCTCACCCCTGACTGTTCACAGATCATCTTTAATCAAAAAAATAATATAACAGAAATGATCTTAAATAAAATTATTATACGTTTTTAATCACTTGTAGATCACTTACACACTACAGATTACACTGTTGCATAAGCTAACTATATTCTAATTATATAACATGATTGTTGATTATAAATACTTCAAATAAAGTAAAAGCCAGCTGGTAAAACCCAATAACAAAATTTAGCATTAAGGTGTCTTGACCCTGATAAGAGAGATAACTCTCACTTGGATTAATAACTATCATTCCTTTATATAATAGTCAAAAGGCCATTTTTGTCAAATTTTGTCTATGAAGGTGTGCTGAAATGGTGTACATTTTACAGTTTTACTTATAAATTAGATTTCTTTCAGAAAATCAGCAGTAATGCAAACTTATATATGGGTGAACAGAGGGCTGACAAACCTTAAAGCAATATGAGCTGCACTTTTAAGAAATTTATTTTGCAGCTGTTAAAATGTGCGCTGTTATGATAAATCTGTATGTAATTTAAACCTTTATAAACAATTAGACTATAATAAAGTATTAAATTTTTTCAGAAGAAAGGTTCCTGAACAATGGAATGTATAGTATCATATAAAAAATCAATATTGTACAGGACAACAATTATAATGTAAATTTGCTTCAATCAAAGCTCCATCGCAAATACAGACCTGCCTACCCTTTTCATTGCGAGGGTGTAATTTCAATACTCATTTTGGCGGAATTTCAGAGATTAAGGCGTAATTCTTTATGTTTCCTTAGTTTGATGTTTTGCAATGATACTATATTGTCTAAATAAACCTGTAATTGTACATCATTGAACAAAGCAAGCATGAGTGTTCCATTTTCAAATCATTTATTGAAAAAAAGGCCATGTGTTGTAAAACTGGTATCCTAAATGCAGTTATATCAAATTTATTTAACTTACATGCCTAATGAACTTTTGGAAAATTTATAGAAAATTACATAATTCAAAGTTTCATTTGCATGTTAATACAAATTCTACATCATTGCGCTATTTCGGTTTTGTTTTCCTTACATTTACTTGTCTCAATGTTGTTCTAAGCAATGTAAGAATGAACGGAATTGAAAATTAAACTGACTTTACTTATTGCACATTTCATTCAGAAGTTTTTTTTCTTAATTTTGGCATGCCACCCCTTTAAAAGGCATAACTACAAAGTATATTACGTACTATGTTGTTTATATCGTAAATAATCAAATCGTGAAGAACCAAAACCCCCTATTAATTAGTATTAATTACCTTCTCGTTTTTTTTTTAGGAAAGCCTTTACTTTAACTCTCAAGTTAGCCTTTCATTAAGTTGTCTAGGAAAAATAGTTAAAAGCGTAAAATTATACTTCATGGCATAACAGCGTAATTTCATGGTAAAAAGCGGAAGAATTACGTCAAAAAGCAGAAGGGTAGGCAGGTCTGCAAATATGAACAACAGAAGTTTATAATTGTTCTTTATTTCTGTCATTGAAATTGTTAATTACAATTCTGCCCAAAAAAAGTTCCACCATCAAAGATGCAGCTCATATTGCTTTAATGTAAGACCTTGCTTTACACCTGATACTAAATCTGAAATCTTTATTTTGAACTCATAGTCATGAATTCTATGTTCAGCTCAATTCTCATATTTTGGACTTGCAACTTTATTAATAGAAGTGGACAAAATAAAAGCTTGAAAGAAGTAACTTATTCCCATCTGAAGTGATCATTAATACTTAAGTTTCTTGAAGTCAAATCTATTCTAATGTTTAATATCAATATGCATCATCTTGCAGTAAAAATAAGGAACTAGATTGTTAATGGATGGGGCATTAAGGCTGGAGATACTTATAAGACAGGGCATTCAAACTGCTAGATGCAAACTGAGATGTACATTAAACCTCTGAAAAATGTGATTACTCTATCTTCCCACATCCACCCTCATCTCAATGGATCTACATGCACATGATGACACCTTTTTTTCACACAAATCTGTCACAAAGGTAACATTTAAAGGCTTCTGCAAAGGCATTAAACATCAATGAAAATTAATTAAAGAATACAAATTCCTGAAAATGGATTAAACATATTTGTGATCTCATTACCTATGATCAGTATAGTCACAACTTTAGATGTATCGGCACTAGTACACATTTAGATCTTTGTAAAAGTAACACTTATTAATCAGTTTGGCAGGCAAGAGGGGGGTTGATTGGAAGCATAGTATGCATGCATATTTAACACACTTCAATGGTATGTATAGGTATATATATACAAGTTCAGTGCTGTGACCTTCATTATACAATGGCTATCTCGAAGTAATAATGATGCCACAATTACATAAGACTTCCTCTGCACCAATCAATTTGGTGCCATTTTTATCATCTAACTGCAGCGTGGACCGAGTCTTGCTGCTTCCATGAAAGATAAAACACGTCATCGATAAGCAACTTAGGTTGGCCTGCATCACAACGATTAGTTCTTATTGTGATAGTGACAAACGCAATAACTCATATCGTTACAGAAAAATAACTCAAGACAGTGAAGACACTGACCTACTGACAGATGGCCCAGAGTTTTGACGACTTTTCCGTCGATTCACATTCATCGACATCATGGGAAGCTTGTCAAGTCGTGTTTAGCAAGTGCGTGATTTTAACAAGATCTCATACCGGTACCCGCAGGTGACCAATAAAACAATCGGCAGTTACTAATACTGTGAACATCAAATTAAAAATAAATACACCTGATGATATCTGACATCAAACAAACACGAGTAAACTTAGTGTTGACACAAGTTACAGGCTGAGGGCGGCGCTGTAATATATATCTCAGGTTAATAACACAACATGGAGGGTGGAACTACTTTTATCCGAGGATTATAATACTTGATAATTCATAAAATGAATCATTTGAAGTTATAATTCTTGGAACATATTAATTCATTTTATTTCAAACTGTGTAAATGCTTCTTTAAGCTATTAATGTTGTTCATGTTTTGACTTTCAGTATTCTGCTTTTTTTTTTGCTGCGGAAGAATAAGAGAGTAATTGGCTTAGTCTCGGAGGATGTACAAAAATCTCATGAATGAAATTCTATAAATTTTACTTGTACATGATTATTTACTTAGTTTTAAGATAAATAATAATAAATAAATTGATAAACTTTTATTTCTTGTGGCAAACAAGAAAATACAAAAGAAATAGAATTGCGCATGCGTCAGCCTTTGTAAACTTCCTGTAACTTCCTGTGGAGATACTCCCTGCTACAACGGTGTCAGAAATATATAGTGAAATGTCATACCTTGTTAAGATTTATGACTGTCAATTTATCAGACAGAGATAATTTTATGTGAGCTTTTTATATAAAGAAGAAATAGTGTGATATTTCAAATTTACGTCTACAAATGATTTAAACTTTATACAGACGTGAAGTTCCGTCCTACAGAAAGGGGTGGTTTTAGCCAATCCCTCATTGTTCTGTATGAAAATTCTAACGAAAACGTTTCTGTACAAATACACTTAAAAGTATGTGAGTGACATGAACTTAACCGTGTCGGATTATTGTGAATATGGCGGTAGCAGACCCCAGTTATAATCACGTGAACACAACCTCTGATGAAGAGGATGGTGCTGTAGAAAGTATCACTAACAGTCCAGATAATGCCAAGTCTTTGGGCAGCCCTAGTTCCCACAAACAAAACGGAACAGCTGTAACTCATATAGATAGATATGGTTTTATGGGTGGTTCCCAATACACTAATCCAGATGAGTAAGTTTGAAAAAAATTATCTTCCTGTTTTCATCGTCAAATACTACAATAACTTACATTGTGTTACTACAATAATAATTATAACCCAGAGTGTGCATAGAAAGATATTTACTAATATGTTGGTAAAATATTTTAATTGACTGTCTGATAACTCTTTTTTTTTCTTTTACAGTGAGCACAGAGTTCCAATTGAGAAACTGAGACAAAGAGAGCTGAAATGGCTGGAGATGTTTGATGACTGGGAAAAATGGATGAGCAAAAGATTTAAGAAGGTAGGATAATTAAGCAGGGTTGTCCATAAGACCTGGGGGCCGGGGAATTTCCCCACCCATAATGATGTAACCCCCAGGTTATTCTGGTATTCCCCCTCAACCCCCTGTTAAGGGAGGAACCCTAAACCACCCTGTACTTTTTAAATGTACCCTGCTATTTCAGTTCTTAGGAACAATCCTGTTAAGTGTTTGATGGAAAAATATATACTTCAAATAAAAATACAGGATATAATTGTAATGTTTTATGAGAATATTTCAGATAAGACAACACAAGTTATAGATTGAAATACTGATCTGCCAATAAAAGACTTGTGTCTGAAAGGCCTTATCAAATGATCCATGCTTTTTTTATGCTTCTGTAATGGAAGATTCTGGGGTGTAAAGGTTTTTTGGCCCTGTCTGTCCATCTGTCTGTCTGTCTAGCTGTTTGTTTATCCTTAAAAACTTTCACATTGCCCATAACTTTTGATTGGTTGAAGCTACGGCTTTCATATTTCACATTTTCCTTGAGACAAGACCTTTCTTTGGGTACCATCATATTTGACCTTGCCTTGGAGTTTGACCCAGTTTTGCACAATTTTACCCAAATTTAACCTTGGCCATGACTTTTGAACAATTGGTGCTAAGGCTTTCATACTTCACATGTGTAATCCTTTTGACAAGACCTTCTTTCGGATACCAACAACTTTGACCCTTTGACCTTGACCGTGGAGTTTGATCTACTTTTGAAAAACTTTAACCTTGGCCATAACTTTTAAACGATTGGTGTTAGGGCTTTCATATTTCACATGTGTATTTCTTGTGAGAAGGTCTTCCCATAGGCACCATTAATTTTGACCATTTGACCTTGACCTTTTTGTTTGACTTACTTTTGAATGATTGCTGCTGGGACTTTCGTATTTCACAGGTATATTCCTCAAGACAAGACCTTACTTTGGGTACCAACATATTTGATTTGCATTTGAGGAAGTTTAATCTTCGCTATAAGTTGCCATACGGGGGCATCAGTGTTTCACATCTTGTTTTCACTTATTGTGTCAAGCTTTGTAAGATAAAGAGTTAATACCTTTATTAAAGCTTAAAGTTTGATGCCATGGGTATTCAATTTTTTTGAGTAGCAAAGATACAAACAATTTAGCTATCACTGCAGTTCATGCATATTTTAAGTGCAAAAAATTCACATTTCTACTTAAAGGATAACATTATTTATACCTGATGTAAACGGAATTTTGGGAGATATATAGGAATCACCTTGTCCATCTGTCTGTGCAATCTTGTCCGGTTTATAACTCTGTAATGGAGAATCATTGGAAGCTCATTCTTCTTGGTTCAAAGATACCTGAGGGTATGTCATGACCTTGACTCAAGGTCATCCCAGCAAGTTCAAGGTCACTGGCAGAAAAAAGTGTAAAATTCTTGTCTGATCTACAACTTCTTTATGGAGAAACATTGGAAGTTTGTTTTTCATAGTTACAAAAATTCCTTATAACCTGAAGGTGTTTCATGATCTTGAACCAAGGTCATTTGATCAAGTTCAAGGTCTTTTATAAGAAAAATGCCTCTAGTTGTTAATAATTTGGTCAGATCCAATTTTTCATCCTTAGTTATGTCTGATTTTTTTTTTATATAGCTTCTTACAATACAAGTTATACTACAGAAAAGCTTAAAAAAAATTTTTTAATAGGCAAAAGTGTTATTATTTTTTTAAGTTTTGTAAAATGAGACCAAAATAAACTTCATCTTTGCTATGCTAATTTTCATTCAGAAAGATGTTTTGCATAATCATCATGACTGCTGTACTGAAACAAATGTTTCTAGTTGAAATATTTAAGGGAAAATGAATGCACATGTAACTTGGAAATATCTGATAACAAATTTATTGATTTTAAGGACAATGTGCTTATTAATTATAGATTAGAGATAGATGTCGCAAGGGTATCCCCCCATCATTGCGTTCAAGAGCCTGGCAGTATTTATGTGGCAGTAAATTCCTAATGGAACACAATCCAGGAAGATTTGATGTATGTATTTTGATGATATTCACAAAGTACACTTTTTTTTAAAAAAAAAAAAAAATGCCATCCAATGCATGATTTAACATTGTTTACTCTTATTGTTATAAATCCATCTAATAAAAAAAAATCTCTGAAGTGTGAGGATTAGTGTTTAACAAAAAAAAAAATCTTAAATTTAAAATATCTTGATGTATTGGAGGAAACAAATATGATTTATCTAAATTGCGTAAATTAAAATTTTTAGGTATTTAAAGTCCAAAAAGGTCAATATTACTCTAGAAGGCATTTATATCAGAATTATAAGAATTATTTCTTTTTAATATGTGAGTTGCAGTAGATAGAGTCATTCTGTATTGTATATGTTGTTATGGTAATCCTCTCTAGAAACCACTTTAATAAATGGAAAATAGCTTTATGTTGAATTTAAAAACTAAAAGGCCATTTCAATACCTCCTAGCTCATCAACAAGCATACTGTCAACTATTTTTCTAAAATCATTTTGTAATGAACTGCAATAAGTGATGACATTAGGAAAATATTGTACAAAATGGCTATCTTTAAAAAAAAATAATGATTTCCTTAAATGTTCAAATACCCAAGTTCTTCATTTCAACCTTTTTGTTTTGTTCGTAATCAATTAAGTAAAACAAATATTATGTTGTAGGAATATTTAAGACAGCCAGGAAATCCAAAATGGGAGGATGATATCACAAAAGATTTACACAGACAATTTCCACAGCATGAAATGTTTAATTCGAAAGGAGGATTTGGGTAATGATATTTCTTAGTAATATGGAATATATATGTATATGTGTAAAAGATGTGAATATATATTCATTATTCATTTCATTTTAGTTCTTGTTGTTTGTTCTTTTTATTTTTTTAAACTTATTTTATGAGTGTTATATATATAATAAAAGTTGAATATACAGTGAAAAAAGCAAATATCCCCCCATTATACATTGAATACATTAAATTCATTTTTTAGTCATTTATTGACTGGATACTCAATGATATCTTAGTGAATGTTAAGGTTTCATACCTTCCTTGACCGCTTCTGGCCAGTTGTATAATTAAAATCTACTAACTAAAGAAGGTATCACACCAGATCCAGATGACTGACATCGGTGAACTACATTAAACAAACATGTTTTGTGCAAATTTAAGACAAAGAAAACCCACTAATGAAAACAATGTACATTTAAACTTCATTATCTTGAACTCAATGGGACCAAGAAAAAACTTTGAGACATCCGAAGATTTGAGATATCAAGGGTAAAATACTTTAAAAATAAGGGGTTGGGACTTCAAAATCACTTCAACATATTCATGATATTCGAGATATCAGTGTTCAAGATATCAAAGTTCAACTGTATTTACATTGTGCACTCTGTGCACATCAGCACATTTTGTGTGAATATCATAAGCAAGACAGACAATGTGTTGAGTCTTTTTATATTCATTTTTATAGACAAGAAGACTTATATAGGATTCTAAAGGCTTACACCATTCACAATCCACGAGAGGGCTACTGCCAAGCTCAGGCTCCTATAGCTGCTGTTTTACTGATGCACATGCCAGCAGAACAGGCTTTCTGGTGCCTTGTTTCCATCTGTGAGAAATATCTTCAAGGCTACTATAGTCCTGGCCTGGTATTTCATAAATTTTATTCTTTTCATTTATCTAAAGACTATGGTGTATAGTGATATATGACTATGTGTTGGTTTTCAACTTCATTTATTATAATAAACAGTATTGTTGCTTATCAAATAGTAAACTCTCTTTTTACTTGAAATACTATTTCATATTTTATTTGAATAACACTGCTCCTCTTGGACCCAAGGAAGCGATGATCTGTTATTATTATTTTACATGCAAAAATTCAACAGTTAAGTGTTCCTGGTCCAAGAGAACTACATGTTGTCAGACCTTTGGTTTTAGTTACATTTCTTTGAATTTAATTCCGCATAGCACATACAGATTCTTCATTTATTTCTTGAATAAAAACCCTACAATTTTTACAATGCTTATGACTCACCAAAGTGTATGAGTTTGTAAATATCATACAGATTTTCACATTTTATGTAAGATGTCCAAAAATTTAAACCACAAATTGAAGGAATCTGCATATGCATGTGTGCAGTTTCATACTTGTGTATTACAATAAATACATTTTGCTAAATTATCAAATATTGAATGTCTTGGGTAAAGAATTAAGCTTGTCATACCTACAGATTTTTAAAAATAGAAAAGGAAATACACACTCATGCCCACATTAATATCATTAATGTCATCATTGGTCTATTTATATGATATTATTACAGGAAGCTGTTCAAGTAGACGGAGATGTTTTGTTTGGATTGCTGAAAAAAACACAACCAGCTGTTTACAAACATATAGTAAGTTTTCTATTATTTAATATTCAATCTTAAATCTTAATAGAGATCATTTTGGAGATCAATTATAAATATTTATTGAAATTCATACAAATCCATCTTTACTGCTTAATTAGAGCTTCAGTCTGTGAATTCTTAAGGAATTTTTGACTTTATTGACTGAAACATTGATTTCAGAATAATTTTGAAATGCTTCCAATGCTTTATTTCATGATTTTTTTTTTAATTTTTATATTTTTAAATTTTTTTTAATTTATTTATTTTTTATTTTTTTATCTTTTTTTTTTGTAGAAAAAACAACAAATAGCTCCTATACTTTACATGACAGAGTGGTTTATGTGTTTGTTTACGAGGACACTGCCTTGGTCAACTGTTTTAAGGGTTTGGGATATGTTCTTCTGTGAAGGTCAGTGCTCTGTGTTAATGCATAAAAAAGTTATTATTGATGTTGTACAAACTTCTAATAAAAGTCACAAAAAATTTAAGATTTGCCAATTGCTCCTATGTTATTTTGTTCCAATTCAGTCTACAGTGGTAGATTTAATACACAAAAAATTTATTGTTTGTATTAAAAAGTACATAGAATTAAAAACTCAAGTTTGAGGCAGGAAATTATTCTTGTCTAGAGAGATGAGTTCTGTTCATCAAGTAATACATTTTTCTGAAAATTTACTTCCAGAGGTTTATTCAATAGGGATTTTAATAACAAATTTTAACACCCCCCCCCCCCCCCAATTATTATTTTTGCAGCGGCTCTGTTGACTATAAGGCAAACATTTGTTGAATTATAATGTCCTTAAAATTTCAAATTGTATTTGTTCAATTTGTTTAGAAGTGGGGTTGTCTACTAAATAAGATACACAATGTAACCATGAAGATACTTAAGGAACTAACTATAATAGATGTAAAATTAGAGGTGTTTTCCAATAATGCATGTTTTTAGCATTGAATATTTTTATTTGACAGGCATAAAGGTGGTATTTCGTGTTGCTCTGGTGCTATTTAAAATGGTATTTGGAGATGGAGGAAATTTCAAAGATTGTCCAACTTTGTATGAAACACTAGAAAAACTAAGACACATTCCAGTTCAGCATCTAGATGAAGAATTAATGGTACAAGAAGTAAGTTTATCACTAAATATAGAATACTGTTTACAGGGAAAATTTCGCCCCTGTTTTATTTTCATTCCTTTCGCCCTACTCACAGATGGGTGAATTTAAAACTGGCAAATTCAAAGAACACAGTAGAATTTCTTAAACAGAACTGTGACTGTGCAAATTTAGAACTGGGCAAAATTGTTTGAAATTTGTTTTGAAATTGTGTGAAAGGGTGAAAATGACATGGGGCAAAAATAACCCTGTATATAGTACAATGTAGTATTTTAGATTTAATAATTTAGAAAATTATGTATGTAGATTATTTTCAGTAATTGTAGTGTTTTGCTTGTACTTTCCAAAGTAGTGGTCAGGGTTTTTACTTATAGTTCATAATTAGGAAATAACCCTAATTATTTCAGCAAAGCATATTTAATTGCAAAACACAGCATTAATTTTTTTTATGATAATTGTAGATCATTTTCTATGCATATAAATACTCATTTTAATTCTGAATCATATCAAAAATTTCTCAGTATCAAAATGACATCTGTGCATGATGACATCACAATCTTATTGAATGACATCGACAAATGTTTTATAAATTCAACAGTTAAATTGATAGTTATATAATATTCTGACTTATTTCTACTTGTAAGATGTTCAATTTGGAAAAAAAAAAACACAAATTGAATATGCTAGGGAAAAACATAAATAACCTTCTGTAAATGATATACAATGCAAGTTACAAGGGCAGAGTTCCATTTAGTACATCTGTAAATTAAGAAACAATATGATGCAGTCATGTTTAAGCACTGTCATGGTAAATGTACATCCTGTTCATCTAACATGATATTTATTAAGATAAATGGTTCTTAAATGTGCATCCCATCCACATGTACAGTACGAAACAAAAGATTCATTTCTTTTTTGCCTTATAGACCTTGCGACTAAATATCAATGAGAGAGACATGGAAAAGGAGCACCAAAAACAAATTCATCGGCGGAAAAAAGACAAGTCAAAGAAAGGCGGAAAGCAGAAGTCATGACAGAAATAAAGAAGGCGGTAGTGGTGAATTATTTAGAAAATTGTCAAATTGTATTCATGAGAACCTTTTTTTATACTAGTCATTCATATTTAATTTTTATATATATACATGTATGTATATCAACAAAGCGAGAGAATGTTTTGAGTTTGTAATCAGGCAGTCTCTGGAGCTGTTTTTGAACAATGGGTTAGGATTTGATGATATAGTGTTTCTAGTCTAAACTGGATGTAAAACTGTGTAAATAAAAATATTTGCAGTCTGTCCCAGCATTTAGGCACTAATTTTTGATGCTTCTGAAAAATCTGCTTTTGTCTCAACCATTACCAAACCATCTCTCTGAAAAAAAATACTGACGTTTTCCATCCCATGTGGAACTGCCTTTTTTTAATGTGTGATACTGGCTTTCCATAATTTTTATGATGATTGTCTGTATACTTCAAGTCGTATTTTGTGATGTAAATATATGGACAGGTATGTGTAATATATATTATAGCAGATGTTCAATTTGTAATTGTTAATTTGAACATACTTGTGATAATACTAAGTTCAGGACACATGGATTTTGGAGAAGATGGACCAATTTACATGCAGATTGCTCATTTACATTTTGTACAAAAAAACTTGCATGTACTTTTAACCTGAAAATAATTTGAAACAAATCATGTTTGAACAAAACATTTCAGTTTTTCTTTAAATCTTATCCATTGAAACATTCCTAACTATTTGTTTTTCACCATTTGCCTCACCAGGTTTTATTCATCATATACTGTTTTTATTTCTAGGTGTTTTTATGTGTTTCTTTGGACAGGCCATATTATGGTATGGACTTTCTCTTCAGTCAGTCTGTTAGCTTTTATATGTCTGGACTTTGTGGCTTAGGACCATACAACCTAGTCAGTTGATGCATCCAGTGTGTGTGCATTGGGGGGGGGGGGGGTTATAACCCTAAATTAGGTCACTGTGCCCTCATTTTGGAGTTTTATGGCTATACATAGTCAAATTATGTTTGGATCATAACTTGCTTAGTGTAACTCTTAGAATCATCAAACCATGTTTTGGGGAAGGCTGACAATTTATGACTATACATAGAATACATAGAAGTAGAATTATCAAACCATGTCAGTTAAGGTATTTTAGAGGCAAAGTGTGTCTTGATTCAAAAATTGGTCTCTGTGAATTTTTGGGATTTAGAAATTGGTACTTAAACAGTTGTGTCCAAATCATTTTGTGCAGAGTGATTCAGAATGAGACCAAGGGTGGGTCTGGGGGGATGCTTTATGACCCAAAAGTAGGTCACTGTGACCTACTTTGGAATTCTGTAGCTACATGTATCCATAGTCATGTGCAGTTCACATCTTTCACACTGTGAAGATTCAAGCCAAGACCTACCAAACCTCAGTTGATGCATCTTTTTTTTGGGGGGGGGGGGGGTCTTGATCCAGTCTCTGTGACTTTTTTTTTTTGGCATTATATGGCTATGTGTACATTATAAAGAACTTCACATATATTGCAGCAACCTTATTCTAGAAATATAGGGTCACAGCTTGTAACATCAAGAATGCATAAAAAAAAGATATTAATCTTTTAGTTCCAGAAGGGCAGATCATGTACCCTAACAGTGCACTTTATTGAGTGGTATTTGAATTTGGTTAAATATTTTGCTCTCATATTTGTATGATAAACTTAATTCAGGAAAAGTAACCTGAACAGTCCTTGTGCTCATAGATTTTTTTTTCACAATTTTTTTTATGGACTTTTAATGGCATAGGTCAGACATAATGTACAATTGTGTATATGTTGTAAAAGTTATCATAAAGAAAAGATCAAAGAAAAGAAACATTAAGAGCATGGTTAATATACTATTAAAGTAGGGTTAAAACACACAAAAACACAGTAAATATGTACAAAATGTAGTTTTAAAATGAAGAAGTAAATAGAATGTGCCATGATCTTGAGGTTGTATAGCATATATAATGTATACATGTATTAAGAGCAGAAAAGTAAAGAAAAAAATCTATAATTTTTTTCCCCAGGAAGAATCCCTGGGAAAATTTTCTTGGAATACCTAATGTTGTGAATATTTGACTTAAAAGAGTGAAAGCACTTTTTATTTATCCAGCAACAAGATTTTTTGTGTGTGTGTATGGTTTCAACTACATTGTACTTACATGTATTACTCACTATTCTTTTATTTTGGTGCTTGTTAAATTTATGTGTTAAATTTATGTATGAATTGATTATAGTTTGTACATGTTAATTTAAAATGTACATGTAATTTTTGCAGGCATATTCATGAAGTACATATATGAGAAAAAAGTTTTTATTGCTCATTTAAATATAGAAGAATTGGTTTTCCCCAATTATCATTTTGTCTCACTTGTAAACTGTTGCCAATATGCCTTTTGTTTCCTCCATTTTTTACATATCTTTGAAACTGGTTCAAATATTTGAAGAATCTCTGAGAAATATTTTGCCTAACTTTAGCATGTTATGAGGGGTAATAAATATCATTAACGTTAAAGGTATGTTCAATATATTGGCATAAATCATTTTTTAAAAAAAAGTTGAATGATTTTTCATCTGAATTGAGGGTATGTTTGTAAAAAAAAATATTTTCTGACGTCATTTATAATCAAATTATTTCAACATGAATGTTTTTAAACAAAATACACAAAGTTTTTTATTTGCTTACGTAATATAAAAATCTTTCAAGGGTGCATTGGTTTAAAGTCAATAATAGATAAAAACATTTGAAATATCCCTATATTGAAATTTGTGATGAAATTCCTGTTAAAGGGTTAATGCCAGAAATTTGAAATATGGTAAAATACACACTGTATATGTTAAGTCCTGTAGACACTACCACTGAATGTCAATAAGAATAGGTATACATCTACATGTATGTATATGAAGACAAGAGCAAGTAAATTATTCTTACTATCAATTGTTGGTTCTCTTTGTTGTTTTCAGTAAAAATATTTGCATTTGTTAGACCATGCACAGATCCAGAATTTTTTTTCAAAGGAGGGAGGCACATCAACTCAGACTAACTTTAAAATGTTTGTTTGCCCTCGCCCGACACATGGTAAAAAAAATTGGGTCATTAGGTAGGTGGCGAGATGAGAAAATTCAGGAATGAAAAGAATAAAAATTATTTCCTTGAGGTTATAAAAAGTTTCGAGTTGGGCCATTTTAGTCAGTTGGTCTAGAGAGGGCAAAAACAATTTTTTAAAGATGGCCTCAAAAAATTTTTCGGACACCAAAACTTTTGACAAGCAAATTAAGAAAAAAATGTAAACAACTTGCCGAAGCCTGAAAGCTATACATAGATATTTTTGACAAGATAACTCTGACCCCCACCCACCCCCTCATTTGGCATGGAGACTGTTTGATATCTGACAACAGGAAGTCGTGACCATGACAAAGAATTGCTAGAAGGTTGAAATTGCAAATAAAAATCCCCTCCCCCATGTCACAAAAATTTCTTTATAATGTTGCTACACAGGGAGTCATGCATAGCTTGTGATTACACTACAGATTCTGATACATGTAGTTCATTTTATGTATAGTGTGGCCTCATTATGCAGAAGCCACTAATCTGGATGCTTCACCTCCTGGACACAATTTTCAAGGAACATAATACCAATCTTAAAGGGTCCATTTCAATTATCCAGACATTTCATTAATGCTGTTGATTTACTTGGGAACACAAGTCCAGAGTAATGGGGCTGGACTAGATTCCTGACAGCAGTTATATTCAGAGGAACTGTAGATTTACTTTCTTCTGCATGGGATTAATTTATTCTATGGATAGATCACAAATTTTCCAGGGAAAACTATGAAAGTGCATATGACGTAAAATGGCAATCCAAGAAATCTGCTTAATTTTTTGGATTGAACAGATATTGAGATTCCACAGAATTATGACCTCATGGAAAAAAATACATTTACAATATATAAAATTGTTGATGGAATCTAACCCATTTTTGGTCTAGAGTATTTAGAAGAGTCATACAGGGATATTGTTTTAATGCTCAAACAAGAGGCCCATTGGCCACAACACTCACATGATGCACTATGACCCTGCTGTTCTTCATCAGCAGATTTTTAATTAATAATTTCCCCTCTTAAAAGCTGAACACAACTTGTAAATAGGCATACGCCATATTAGTTCTCATATCTCCTATATCAGTACTGGGGTATATAAACCCTTTGCATTCTTTACACCTGATTGCTTTTATCTGGTTGCTACTGCTTGTGGTACATGATTGTATATCTTACCTTGTCTTTTTGTTTACTTTTTATTTCATTGAATGAACATTTGTGTTTATTTTTACTTCTAATGCATTGGCCAGTACAACTGATATCAAATATCTTTGGTAGCTATTTTTTTTTTCTGATGTGGCAGAGGCATTCAGAAATCATTTTTGTTGTGCCCAAGTCTATTAAAATGACAGTCAAAGAGAAGCCTGTTCAGGTAAACTTTGTAAAGCGAAATACACTGAATCATGAACAAAGCTTATAGAGGGGCTGGAGGAGTATAGACTAGTGAAGATAAATATGGTGGACAAAGATAACTCTCTTCCCTTAAGGAATTATGTTCAGCTTTCATTTCATAAAAATTTTGACTCAATGTAGTTGAACAAAACCTAGCCCTAAGGAGGCTATGATATATTCAAAGCTGAATCCACATAACATTAATATGACAAACATGGCCCCACTGTTCCTGAAATGGGTCCTAATCTGAACAAACTTAAATCTAAACTCCAGAGGATGCTTACATATCAATATGCCTTATCTTTGCTGTTTTTTAAAGATTTCTTCTGTATATTCCTCTGTAAAATTTAAATCTCCTAGTATCCTGGCCCCACAGTACCTGTGGGAGTCATGTTTTGAACAAACTTAAATCTACACTACCTGAAGGTACGTGTACTTCCCTATTTATAGGAGTAACAATTTATGTCTTTTTCTTTAAAGGAAGATTTTTAAAAATAAGTATATTCTTATGTAAAACTTTGGTCTCCTAATGTGGTCCCATCCTACCATTGGGGGTCACAATTTGAACAAACTTGACCTTATCATGGTGTTGTGTTCTGAGAAAAAAGATTTTTAAAGACTTTTTCCAATATATTCTATGTTAAACTTTAAGTGCCTGTTATGGCACCACCCTAACCCTCCCTCCCCCTCCAGGTAATATTTGAACAAATTTGAATCTACATTTACCTGATGATGCTTCCATTTTCATATGACAAATTATGGCTTTGCTGTTGAGAAGAAGATTTTTTAAAGATTTTTTCCTGCATCATCCTTTTGTAAAACTTTGATCCTCTTCAGTGGCCTAACCCTACCTCCGAGGGTCATGATTTATTTAAACAAACTTGAATCTTCACTATGTCAAGAAACTTACACTTGAGTTTCAACTTTTTGGCCCCGTCTTTCTTGAGAAGAAGATTTTTGAAAGATGCTACTAAATTTCCACTAATTCCTTATTTTCCCTTTGAAAGAGGTTGTGGCCCTTTATTTGAAAAAAAAAACTTGAATCCCCTTCACCCAAGGATGCTTTGTGGCAAGTTTGGTTGAAATTGGCCCAGTGGTTCTGGAGAAGTAGTCAAAAATGTGAAAAGTTTACAAAAGGATGCTGGACAAAATGCAATCAGAAAAGCTCACTTTCAGCTCCGGTGAGCTAAAATGGGACTGTACAGCTAAGTCACAATATTTTGGGGGGTTTTTGAAAAAAAAGAAAAGTCTTGCTTACTTTTTCTTCTTAGGCTTGCTTTCCTTTGTATTCACATCTTTAGCTTTGGATGAATCAACATATTCTTCCACCTTGGAAAAAATTCAAAATTTATCATAAGATGGAAAACTTCGATATCTAATCAAGATACAAAATGTTTGGTGGTAGTTTTTAACTTTGTATCCAAAACATTACTTTGTCTTTCTTGCTCTTAGAAAACTTTTGTTTTCTGGATCTCTGCACTTCAGAATTCCAGTACACATTTTCTTCTTCCTATAAAAAACAGAGAGTCTACAAAAAAAGGAAAAATCAACTGCTAGTGGAAAAGAGTTTATTTTTCAACTAAACTGTCTTGGAGTTACTTCCCTCAGTCCATTTTCTGAGATGATGTGTAGATTATACTGGGATACATGCAACTTTGTTTAATGGGGGGGGGGGGGGTGTTAGTGTGTATAAGGATTTGGATACAGGGGATACACAATGTGCAGATATATATGGTGAGAGTTGGAAGGAGGGGAATATATTTCAGTTTGTAGATGTGGGAGAAAGCTGGAGAATTATTCAAATGTAGATGGAGAAAGTTGATAGAAATGGAGATAGACTGAGATGTTGATATAAAGGTAAAGATGCATGGTTGCTGGCAATTAAGTGCACGTATGTTAATGTGTATAATTTATAGGGATAGTTTAAAAAAAAATGGGGAGAGATGAAATTTGATGGGAAATTGGGAAATCTTAATGTAATTTATTGTATAGATAGATATGTTTAGAGTTGAAGGAGAGTTTGGTTTGTAAATGAGAATAGTTGAATAGTAAGAAAGTAAATATTGGTGGGTAGATAAATTAGGAAAGAAGGGGGGAAATGTTTTATGATTAAAAGGAAGGGGATGTTGATGAGTTGATAGAGATGGTTAACAGAAAAGATGAAAAATATGTGAAAGAATCCTGACATAGTATAGATTCTAAACTGTTCAAATCATGACCCCAAGGAGTAGAAGGGGAGAAATGGTAGTTAGTAGAAAAGGACTGCAGCAGATCTTATGGTTTTGAAGGGGGGAATAAGATATCTATGCAGAGCAAGGGGAGATGATCTATACATGTATATATATTGTTAGTAGGGAGGCAAGGAAATTGGTGATGTGTACATAAAGTTGGTTGTGAGACAGAGGGAGATGTGACTAAAATTCATTAAACAAAGTTCTCAATCAATTCATGCAGGGGTTCCCAGCTATATTCTATCTAGTTATAACCATTATGCTGTTACTGTAAATTCTTACAGTTACAAAGGTTGAATTTGCAAACCAGAAAATAAAACTCAAATAATTACCTTGGGTACTCTTCGCTTGGCGGACCACCGTTTTGTCTTTGGTTTGACTAGATCACTATCCCAAGAATTATCACGCCTTTCCTCCTTAAAAGTAAGATATTATTGAAGTTTTTTATGGGGAGGGAGGGGGGGTATTTATCACTAAATTTCAACTGTAAAACTTGCCACAGCATGCCGTTTTATGTTGATGTTTCACGCGGGTTTATGAGCTGTATATTGACCTTATGAAATCACAAGTCTCAAGACATTACATTTTGATGGTTTGTGACATACAAACGAAGAAAACATTATAAACATATCGTTACCCTTTTCTTCTTCCGTTTTCCGTTTGAACAGTTCTTGTCCATCTTATTTAGAATGCTTCTTCTTTACAGCAAAATTGGAATGTGCAAACAACTTGCGGTTTCCATGCATTAATGAAGTTTTGTTATTGTTGTCATTATGACGTCATGATGACGTTTGAGTTGGGCGGAACTACAACCATACATGGAAGAGCATAAAGAATTGTCTCGCAGACGCTCGGCTATCTTCGCAAATTTCCGGAGACATTCGAGCGTCAGACACTCGGAGAAAGATTATTCTCTTTAGAGAAGTGGACAGGCTTTCGCCTACATCCAGGCGAAAGCCTGTCCACTTCTCTAAAGAGAATAGGAGAAAGATCAGCAGAGTATCTGGTTGAACGAAACTATCAAGTTTGTCTTTAAATCCTCCCTCTATGTAACACTAAAGGATTCCGTGATTTAATTTTATATTGAAAATTTTATGTTAATCGGCAATACAATATATATAACAGGCCCGTAGGAAGCAATTTCAGTTGGGGGGGGGGGGGCACACCCAAACATTTTCAGTTTAGGGGGCACTACCAAAAATTCCTTGACAAGCAAAAAAAAAATGAAAAGAAAAAAAGGGTCATGAGATGGTTTTATTGAGGAGACACGAGCAATAAGTAGCTATGTTTTCTATAGTATTCTATATTTCGGCAACATTATTGGGGCACGCCCCCACCCCCACCCCCGGTTTCTACGGCCATGTACATGCATAACCCCTACCAATTAAGGAAGGGATTACATTTTCTGCGATAAGAAAAATATCTTCAAATGATTGTTAATTTAAAAACAATCTTGAACTGCAACGTCAAGCTTTGTACTGGGCTATAAAGTAAGCCAGATTTAGGCCCAATATCGAATGCATGCAAAGTTGTCATTCGTTTCTCTCTCATATTTGAAATGTGAAGAGATCTAGACGAGTCGTGCTCAGACGTTCATATTAAACAATACAAATTGTGAGCAGAGCAAACACGGACCTCTGAAAACAGAAGTGGGATCAGGTGCCACGGAGGAGTGAGCATCCCCTGTCCGCTCACACTCTCCATGTGCTCTTTATCATGATCGGGTAAACGGAGAAATCCAACCGGGACAGTTTACTGTGAAAAATAATGGCCTAGGCCCTAACATAAAAAAAGAAAGACTTCAGAAACATTCAACTTAATGATAAATTGTATATGCAAACAAGGTCATTGTATCGACCAAAGAATTAGCGAAATATTGATTTTAAACGAGATTAATTGTTGATGTCCTTGTATCATTCATGAATGTAAGAGCCGATGATAGAGAGTGATATAGGCCCTGCATAATTTCCGGCTGTTATGACTAGATACTTTTGATTAAGGTCATTTAATCAAGTTTGGTATAAGGGAAAAATGCATAGTATTATTAATACATTAGATTTATATATACTTTGTGTATTACAGAAACAAGGTTGGGCAATTTTTTTCTAATATTATCAATGTATACTGCAATGAGTACACCTTTTTGCAATTTTTTTACCATTTTTACAGAGGTCTCCATCTAATGAGTTACAAAATATGTTCAAAAGTCGAGGTCACCCAAGAGGCAATAAATATAATATTATAACACTTATTAGATAACATATATCAGTTCGTAGGGGAAAAAAATCCGAATTTGGCAACATGGCACTGAGAATTCGACAATTTGGTTTTCTAATTTCGACGTTTAAAATCTCATATTATTCGTAATTTTTCCAGCTTTTTAACATAATTGTCAATGGAAAACTTTTTCCTTAAAAGAGAAATTTCCCGAAACCAAATGAAAGTTGTGCCAAATTGATAAATTCAACAACCATTGCCAGATTCGAACTTTTCCCAGACTGATACATAATCAAAACTTTAAACAAGTAAAATATATAGATTTTCTTCCCAATAATCAGGCCTGAGGAGGTATGTTAATGTACCCGTCAGTGTAAGTTAATTCTACAGCTTTCTCCAGGATCCTCCGTCAATTTTTGCTATAATTTGACCTTTAAAAGTTAACCTCTTTCAAAGTCATGACACAAAACTCATAAAAGTGTTCCTTGAGTCAATTTGTTCTACATGTAAACTTGAACAGCACTTAATCCTTAATTAATCATGATATAGGGCATTTAATGAGAGAGAGAGAGAGACATTTATCCTTCCTTTCGGCCTTTGTTCAATAATTATTTCAATTTCAAAAGCAAAGAGTGTATATTTTTGTTTTGCCATTATACCTACTCAAGAAGTTTTTCACCCCTAATAGGACCAAATTCTCTGCGTAAATATCCATTACTTATATAATATTCTGATAATAATTTTAAGTATTTAAGAGTTGAAAAGGATTTACCTCGAAAGTTATATTTGAATTTTTGACTTGAGTCTTTTCTAACGTTCCTGAAAATACTTAAGGTATTTCCACCCTCCTGTGATGTCATAGGTTTTTGCAGAATCTGTTATTAATTTAAATGTATACCCAATAGAAATATATCTTTTGGAAGAATGCTTTTCAATAGGTGTAATGACAAATATTGTTTAGAAAAGAATTCAAAAATTAAATATTTTCTTTATTTAATCAATTATTTTATCTTCTATTTATCTTTATAAAAGTGGTGCTAAGGGCAATAACTCCTTCTCGTGTGTCTTCATTCGGGCATTTTCTTTATTGTACTTTTAATGTAAAATGGTTTTCCTGATATTCACAATTCAAACATATTTATAAAGACAATTATTTTGGAACTTCCAGTATCAGAATTGTGAATTTGAAACATAATTTTAATAATACTGTTGAATAAAAATATTCGATTTTTTATGCTGAAATATACTTCTGTTTATTCATGTCTGGCATTTTAAAAATATAGCAACCTATAAATTTTTTGCGACTATTAATTAATTTAAACTATATTCAATGAAAATAAATGCACTTTTTTACTTTGAACCCACAAAATTGTGAGGATGGAAAAACCTTAATGGTTATTCTGTATATACGACAAACTCCATTGTTATCAGTAATGACAAATTTTATTAAGTAGACAATGAATAATAAATCAATACTAGTAATAAATTAATGATTATCACAGATTGCTTCTATGTATATGTATGAATTTATCACATATATGCATGCGTCGCTAGCGTCAATAATTCTTTTATCTATAACTAACTAGAAACTTTGGAGAGAAAATCTTTTTTCTGGTTTATTGAGTATAATTTCTATGAACATTTCCCTATTACTGCAGCTCTATAGCAAATTTATGTAAATAACAATTTCTAGAAATATGCCAACCCTTTTTTAGAAAATAGGGTCAAAGTAAAGGATAAATGGATTCTTGGATGGATGTATCTCAAAAATCTTAAGCTTTGTGCATCATCACAAATCTATGCAACATTGACGGCCTGTAAAACGTATGTCATATCATCAAGTCCGACAACTGTGAGTTGGTCTAGCTTAGGGTTGACTATTGCTTGTCTCCCCTCATTTGTCACTTTTGTGTTTTTCAGCACCAATTTTCGAAGACTATGATTTTCTGCGATTGCGTCCGTGAGTGTTTTGCACATGTCTGTGTTTAGCTCGCAGTCACTCAGATCCAAAACTTGGAGAGTCCGTGTTAACTTCAAACATTCAGCTAATGTAATAACACCAACCCTGTCTAGTTTTGCACCGCGAAGTTTCAGTGTTTTCATTGTGCTGCTGAGTTTCAGTCCTTGCAGTACAGCAACAAATGCAGATCCGAACAAACTTGTCTGACTAATGTCCAGAACTTCCAAACAAGTAGCCTGCTCTACTTTAGAACTAAGTTCGGAAGCGCACATCATATTAAGTACACATCCTGTGAAATCCAGTTCTTGGATTGTGTCTGGAAGATGTTGCAAGACAAAATAAGAAATAGCTGCCACTTTGCCTTGCAAGAAGGCGAATCTCTTGCATTTTGTCATATTTTGGCAAGCATTCTGCAACGTTGCCCATGTTGCAGCAGATACTTGTTTTATCGGTTTTCTGCAGGCGTCCTGTAAAATGACTGATTCTATAGATTCCGTCGTTTTCATAAATGCATCCAAAAATCTAGCTAGTACATCCATAGAGCTCCAAACAAGTTTTAGGTGAACAAGGACCTTGCTTTTAGAAATACCCTCCGCGAAATCAGTGTAGAGTTGGATCTGACACATGAATACAGGAATGAGATGAATTTCTAGATGGGTAATACGATTTGTTTCGTGAAGCATGATATGTGGGAGAGAAAGAAGACTTTTGTACGGCAGTAGTCCGTCACGTTTGATAACGGTCCGAGGTGGAAACGACTGGGCTACGGCTTCAAGAGCATCCTCCCTAAATTTGGCTTCCGCTAGACTTTGTAGGCTTTGGGCAAAATCATTGAATCTTCCGCTGGGAGGTCTTAGTGGCCTAATTTCGTCTTCCGAGATGTCTGAATCTTCGCTCTCTACCCGCGTGTGTCGAATGTTCTGGACTGCCATTTCAGAGAAGAGCTGGCGAATGACCGGGGTGTCATGGTCGTTTCTGTACAAGCCACACGTGAACATCACTAGCTGATTGTAACGTGACTGTTTCATCATTCGGTGATCCTTGATAACGCTGGTCATTTCCTCTAGAACATAATCAGACAGATGTCTCGCCGCTAGAAAATCGTGCATTAGACTACATGTAAACATCCACTTGGAAACTGGTGTAAGTTTGAAAAACGCACCTAACTTGAAGACAATTGCATTTTGAGTATCTTTATGAATGTCCTCTTCTGTAAACGCATATTCTTCGTCGTTCAATGTTCTAAATGCAAAGGTACTTAACTGGTCAATTGCTCTAACCACTTCCTCGGGATATTCTAAGCCAATAATGTCAAGTTTTTGTCTTTTGCAGAACTGAGTTGCCATTGCAAAACCGTAAGCTTCCATTAGCGAAGTTAATCCTGTAATGTCGGTAATTTTGGCATTTTTCGAGGACTGATATACGGCGAAAATGAGCAAACAGCAGATTGGTTTTGTGATAAATGGTCTGAATTGCCAATTTTCATCAGTCACTGTATCGAACAGTCTCTGGTGATTTTCTGGATTGAATTTGTAATGATACAGATATGTTTTCATGCATCTGCTGACATTGTTCATACTATATCCCATTGAAAATAGCCGAGAATCTGGAATAAATCCAGGTGAAGACACAATCTCGGGATTCATCATAACAATGACATTAGCTTGACGTAGGTGGATCCCTGAGAGAATGTCCTCTAAACCTCTCTGGCTTATTTTACTGTCATAGCCATCCAGGATCAGAAGTACTTCACTTGCGTTCGCCTCCAACATGGAGAAAAATTCTGATGGATTCAGTTTGAAATCTTCAGGTAAGAGATTCCAATACACCTGTTCCTGAAAATCTCCATCCATCTTTTTCAGATCGACATGGAGAAGAATTCCGTATTTGTTTTTGAAGTAGCTCCTCTGAGTTGCCCACATGTAGGCCACCATATGGCTCAGAATGGTTTTACCACTACCACTTGGTCCCTCGAGAAGAATTCGCTGGCCTTTTCCAACCGAGGTCACTGGTGGAAGAAACTCACTCAGGTGAAGTCGCTTTCTGGAAAAATCAAATATTTTGCCTGATTAATGATTAAATTCATATACAAAATTCAGAGCTTTTGTGTTCCTTTTATCAGTTTTTATACAATATACTTTAGATTAGGGCTTTATCAATACCCACCCGTCCTGGTCCATGATTTCAAGAGGTGTGTACATGTCGCGGATATTGCAGGTGATACTCTCGTTCCACGGGAATGGAGAGCATTTGCTGTAGTTATTTTTGTAGAAGTTGGTAAGTGCAGTTGTCACAACACCCACGACATCTGCAATGAGAGATAATCTGATTCAACTCAAATTCGTTTACAGATTAATAGGAGCAGTAGTATAAAATTTATCAATCCTGTACAAGACACTAGAATGTAAACTTCCAAAGTCATGAAGAAATCAGAAACTCTTTTCAAGAACTTTGAGGTAAACATACAATTTTCTTCTATAACACCGACAGTACTTACCAACAGTCTCTCGGATTCCATGTTTATAGGTCTCTTTACGTATCTGCACGACAGTCTCATGGATTTTCTTGTATTTAAACTTGATTGAATCTGTCAAAGCTTTAAATGCATAGGAGAGTTTAGAATGCAAGATCTTATCCAATAAGAGTTGCATCCTTTCGTGTCTTTTACTGAGGGCAAAAATTTCCTGCCGATCGCTGAATTTGATGACTTGATTTTGTTGCAGACGATCGATGATGTCTTCTGCTTGAATATTGTCCACAAAGAGTTTGTAAGTTTTCATCAAAACTGCCTTGTCCTCTGGAGGGATACCTTGTTTGAATAGATAAAATTCTCCATTATTAAATCTAATGGTTTTAAAAAGTCTGATAAAGAGATTTCTTGGCAGTACCAAAATCAGGACTAACATATGGTATTACAATACCTTCCTGCTCTGCATTGTTTTTGCGTTTAGTTTTCCCTTTTGTGTTTCTGGAACTCGAAGATTTGGGTGAAAAGGCTAAGCGCTTGTGGTTGGAGCCCCAGCTCTCATGCACTTTGTTGATGTAGTGAGTCTGCATCTCAGCATCCAGAACCTCGTTTTCGATACGATGTAGTCTTACTCTGATAGGAGGCCCACCAAGTCGTAGAAGCACCTCTCTAATTTGTTTCCAGATGGAAGTATATTCCTCGATGGAGATGGTTTCTGAAAAAGAAGGTAATTATGTAATAAGTAACAAAGTCCAATTACATTTACGAATTTATGTTCTTTTTTTAAATTGTGTTTAATTCCTGCTTTGAATATAAAGATCTTTTCACTTACTCATTTCAGCGACATGTTGGAACATCAGTTGTAATCTGACAATATCAGCACTAAGACTGCTATCAGCCGAGAGTGGAGCAGCAGACCATCCATTTGGATATGGAGGACATAGGTGACAGATCGTCTGCAGCAGGGTCGCCAGTGTCCGACTGTCGTACTGCTGTGAAGTCGTATGCTTTTTCTTTGTCGGATACAAGAGTTTCCATTGTTTATCGTCAAGAACACCCTGCTCGTGAAGTCGTTGGAGAACGGTACGAATATGAGGTTGCGCTAAGTGATCTTTGAGATTGAGAGGAGGGTGGATGCTGTCAAAGACGGATCGAAGAGAGTGGGTGCCAACGTCATGTAACATCCAGCAGACACGGGCGAGGTTTTCCCTGTCCTTGTCGGGGTTGAGCAATTTGGCTGCCCAGCCCTGGTCCATGTTCGCCCTACAAAGAAACAGGCGATCGAATTCATTCTACTGCAAAATTCTACAAGACACTATTGTCTGAGATCATTGTCTCGTTATGTATAGCAGACTTGCATTCATAGGGTTTTATTTTAAAGTAAGTCAGTACAATACATGAAATGTCAGCTCTTGTTTTGTGAGTTGTCTTTGGATAATGATTTCGATGCATGACATTTCAGATCAACGAGATAGATATTTCTTCTACCCTTATACCAGACGATTGTTTTTCAACATTGGATTAAATATCCGGGTTTGGATCTACAAAAATGTCAACACCATTCAAAGCAATCTTTAAAATCCGCTACTTTGTAGACAGTATAAGTTATATAAATTAGGTTATTAAGTACTGTCAGAGAGAGAGGGAGAGAGAGAGAGTTGTCATGGTAGCATCATTTTGACACACAAAAAAAAAAAAACAACAACAAATCATTCTTAAATATTCCATCACTTTCTGGTCTTGTATGTTCTTCAAAATTGAATGCATGAAACATTTACTTACAATTTTACATGTAACTCATAAATCCAAAAATCACACACTGACTCTCAATAAGAAGACGTTAAAACACCTTATTTACGTCTTCTGAATGTTATACATTATTTAAAATGAGAGAAGGCAGGTCCGTTCTGATTTTAACCTGTGAATCGATCACATCCAAATCAAATACACGACAACAACCGTGTATATAGTTACCAACGCTCTATTTAAACAGTTCTTTAAAGACCTCAATTCCTTGTGTACATTATTTTACAGGAATCTATTTGCCACATTCTATAAAGTGCGGAAGGTATAATTACTTGCAAAAATATTTTACTACCTTTGAAAATTACGCCTTTAATTTGAACCCAATGTAAAGGGGTATACCAGTAATATAGATGGGATGATAGAAAAAAAATATTACAGCGTGAGACTTTTCATTGATCAGTTGTTTTACCTAAAAGCAAAACAGTCTAAACAAAATTAATTTCGCAAATGACTCCATTATTTATATGGGTAAGACGGTGTTACTATTTGGTGTATATATCGATTCTGTAATATCTAATTGTAATGTCTTAATCGATAAAACAGGTGATCCAGAATGGTATTTATTGGTGTCTATGAAGCGTTATGACATTACATTGTATTTGTTCCATTCAGGCCATAAACAGAAAATACGAATTGCCATGTTATAGAAACAGATTGTTCAAGATAAACCAAACTCGCTGAATATACGTAAAGGGGACAATTTGAAGAATTGAGAATGTTTATTCCTATTGATAGTAATAAAAAAAACGTGTATTTGCTTTGGGAGTTGTTTTGTTTATTTATTTTTTTGTTTGTTTTGCTTTGTTTGTTTTTTGCTTTGTATTTGTTTTTGCAGATATCAAATTTTACTTATTATGAAGATGATTCACGTATACATCCAGAATACATGTTGTTATTATCTAACTTACGGAATGCAGGCATTCATATATATACATAGCTAATGTGTCACACTTAAAATATCAATAAAGCTGAATACAATTGAGAAACTGAAAAACGTTTATGTTTTGTATTAGCCAAACCACTTACAATCATTATGAACATTTAATAACTCACTGGACAGATTTAACAGAATTAACTTATATTTGAATTAAGCAACATGTACACAAGACTTAATCACGTTAATTGAGCCATTATGACATACACCATAATCGCTTTAAATGTCTGCTTTTTAAATGCAACCAGTCAGACCTAAAATATGAAAATTAAAGACTGCATTTTGTGACCCCAGCTTTTTAATCCTCACAATATAAGGTTTATCTGTAGTTGCACATGTCGGAAAAAATAGGAAACTTCCGAAAATATATTTTCTCTAAAATATTATAACACTTTTTCCATTTTTTTCTCGGTAACTTGAACTTCAAGACGCTAAACATTTTTTCCATGCATTCAGAGATTAAGAGATAAATATGTATTTACAAAGGCAACGCGTTCTTTGTCCGACTGTATTATAGACGTTTGCAATGTTTTGAATGCCCATCATAGATATAAATGCAAGATATCCATGTCATACATGCTTACATCAAATTCATAATTGAATTCATAATAATTAATTTATATCCATTAAATAACTCCATTTTATCTTTATGTGTTATATAGGTAACTTTTTTTAAGGACAGATAATACAAACTTTTTTTTTTTAAATCATGAAAATAACAACTAAAGCCATGCTTATACAAGTAACATAAATAAGTATAACCGCATAAATTTTAAAATTTCATGCAAAGTTTCTCAGTATTTCCTATAAAGTGAAAAAAAAATCGTATAGATTTATAAGGCTGATTGCTGAAAGGTAGGATTTTGAACATCAGAGAACTTTACAATTTCTTAATACTTTAGAAATTTAGATATTTGCATCATTAACAGCCAAAATAAGTACTAAAATATATACCAATCCATATTTTTGTTTGTATCATCTGTCCTTAAGCACGATGTAACACATCTGCCATAGACTTTTTTTCATTAATCTACTGGTAAAGAATGACCTGTGTTTACCTTAAATGTATGTAAAAATTTTCATGTCTCATTCTCTTAGCTTTCCTCTAATCAAATGGGAAAAGAGACAACAATTAGTACAGTTTAAAAGTTATGATCTCGGATAAAGATGTGGACAGACAAAGAAATAAACAATCCCATCAAAATATCACCGATCTCTTAGACATAAAACAAAAACTAAAATAAGCATTTGCTTCACTTTTAAAGATAAATTACAGTATTTCACTGTTGAAAATGTAATAAAATGTTCACAGCTTCATTGATTCCTTTAATTAAGGATACCAAAATTTTTTTTTTATAGAAATACGGGTATTGATGTATATGCAGTTGCCGTATTGTCTTGATCGAAAAAGAATAAAGGAAAGGCTACTTTTTTTTAAAGAACTGATGACATCCAACCATTCTTTTACGTTCAGTGCTGAAATGTCGCCTTGTACCTGTACATACAGGTATAAAGACAGAATATTATATACTATACTCAATTTTGACATATCATATCATCCGCGTGGAAGCTGAATGACGACTTTCAATTTCAGGTGTGATCAATGATTTTCATCTCCCTTCCAGCTTTACCTCTTATTAAAACTTGTATCTCTTGTTCAATAGATTCAAAACAAACCACTTCGGATTTCTCAATATTTTCACCATATTTAAAAATGAACCATCTTCGCCAGTCAAGGGTTTCTGAGCCGCTACCCTCCTTACAGAGTTTGTGAGCATTTTCTTAGCCAAGGGTTTCTGATCTGTTACTTTCCTCACAAAAGCGGATCAGAAACCCTAGGATAGCAAAGTTTGTGAGGATAGTAATGGATCAGAAACCCTGGAAAATGAACAGACCATGTAGCTTTCTGTAAAGAACGTGATTGAAAGAGAGTCGTTTGGATAATGGATTACAGACACCATTGAAAATAAAGGAAAACAAATAAGCGAGATATTAGTCATTGAAACAGTAAACAGTTATTCACTAGGTTCGATTGATTGTATGTTGTTTTACGTCCCGTTCGAGAATTTTTCACTCATAGAGAGACGTCACCATATACCGGTGAAGGGCTTCAAATTTAGACCTTTACTTGGCACTTATAGGGCCATTGAGAAGTGAGGTCTCTTTATCGCGCCAACGCCTACCGTGACACGGGGCCTCGGTTTTTAAGGTGTCATCCGAAGGACCCGCAACTTTCACTTCAAAATGCCGAGCGCTTGGCGAAGGAACTGTTGCTACATATTTTTTTATCGACTTAGGTCAGTCGCGGCCGGTATTCGAACTCACGACCTTCCGAACACGGGTTCGAGGACAACAGCTTTTTTATTTGACCCAAGAATTGGGTCTGTTGCTCGAGAATTACCAAGCATTTATTTACCGACAGAATGTATATTAACAAGGTTGATCTTAAATCTACATGTAAGCAACGACAGAGCAATCTTCCTCTCCATCAACACTTTTATAAACAGCTATGAATGAGGATATATTAAACCTACATTTCGGAATCAATGTATGTTACCGTTTCATACTAATAATGATTTTTTTTGTGGAACAACATAATAAAATCTATTTCGTAAACTGATTTCATTTTCATGAACTTTCCACCAAAAAATCGTAAAAAACATTATTCTATTAAACGAAATCAAAGGAAATTGTCTGGCTAGGTTGAACGGAACAGAACTACAGCAATTCACATACAAACAATGAACTCCATATTGAGTCATCATGAACCTACTGTCACGTTCTATATTTTGTATTTGCTCCCAACCAGTAAAATCAAAATTTAGAACATTTTACCGTCATCACATTGACTGTGGACCTTACCTATTGTTTGAAATTAACTTTTCTTTAACATATTTTATTTAAGTCACCAAGTCTAGGACAAATGACATTCAAGAAATCTAATTGAACTCAAAATAAAAGACACCGCAGAGTCTGACACATCCGTTGATAGCAAACTAACAAATGAACTTCTAGAAACATGATAACTTCAACTTTTCTATCGTTAACTTCCCTTATTCCTGTAGCAATATATCATTATCGCCTGAATATGGTATTTATGTCTCCTAGTTGATTCAATACACAAAACAGGTTCTACGTACAAACAATTTCTTAACCGAAGCAGGTTACTGACAAATAAGTTGATTCAGTGGTAAAGTCAACTTTTTGCAAACTGTATGGTCGATACAATAGCCTTGTTTGCAAATACAATTTGACATTGAGTCGCTGGCTGACGTTTTTCATACAAATTTTCGTACTGAATTGTCTACGAATACAAATTGTTTATGGATTTCTCCGTTTACCCGATCATGACAAGGACCTCAAGGTGTGACCGGTCGACAGGGGACAATTACTCCTCCATGGCACCTGATGGAAATGATACCCGCTGATGTTTTCAAGGGGTACATGTTTGCTCTGTTTTCAATCTGTATCCTTTTTGAGCATGTTACTGTTCGTTATCTTTAGAATTCATTCCAATTCCAATTTTTCATTGCCGTAGGAACCGGGAGGGGGGAGGGGGGCGTGCCTTCCCAATAATTTTTTCCGATAGATAGAATACTATAGAAAACATAGTGCTCTACTATATGCTTGTGCTCCCTCAATAATAAGGTCTGATGACCTTTTTTTTTTTGGCTTGTGAAGGAATTTTTGTTAGTTGAAAGCCCCCCCCCCCCCAAAAAAAATGAAAATGAATGGTTGTGCCCCCTCAAAGTGAAATTACTTACTACGGGCCTGAGACAATCTTTACATTAAAACATTTCCGTTTGTCCACTATAACAGTCTACTTATCATATGACTTAGAGACGTCCTTGTCTGTACAGGTAAGAAATTACACATCATTTTTGTTAATTTAAAATGTAAAAAGAAAAAAAAGAATATGTCAATCAAAAGTAAATTTTGTACTGGGTGGTAATGAATAAAATAAATGGAAATTTATAATATACTTTAAGTTTGGTAAAAAGGTACTACTGTATTTTTCAAGGTACGCCATTTTCAGAAGTATATATCTTCGGGAATAAAAATATAAAATGAATTAACACTTAAAAATTCGAAGAACACTTATTTGAATTAAACTTTAAATACCGAGGTCTAGTACACGAGTAGGCCATATTACTACTAAATTGAATAACCGTCGTAATTGATACCTATTTCTTCAAACTTATCACAGGGTCAACTAGAATATCGCTTTTCCTGTTTAAATATTTTGTGTGGGTGGAATGTTTTAAAAATCTAGATCTTGTCATGTGTTAATATCAAGATGGTACATAAAGACATTTCACAAAAATCCAACCGATCCCGATGTAAAGTAAAACAAACCAAGAATCAGAGAAATTGTGTATAATGTATAATAACTTTTATAACGTCCTGATCATTGTTTGGTATAGATTTTAAACTAAAACCCTCAAATGAGAAAAAAATATTTTCATTATTTACAGAAGTATTCCAAAGTATAAAGGAATGGAAGCAACAGCTGAGTAAAGAATGGTCTAGTTTAGTGCCTTGTGAAACGACGGAGCAAAACCCTAAAAGTTCATTATAATTTGGTAGATAGGAGGACTTCACTAGTAAGAACTTGGTCATGATATTGAATTTCAGAGACATAGAACGAGGTAATCCAAGGAATGATTAAATTTGTTATCAAGTCCTCCAGCCGTGACATTATAACCTATTATAAAGAAATCTATGCTACCAACCATGGAAACGTTTCTCCGCAAAAACCATAAAACTGGCCTTTTTAGCATTTTATGTTGAAAATATTTAAAACTGAAACCTACAATAATCGCGTTCCTAGAAAAAGTAAGACGAAGAGAATATTGTTAATATCGCCATAAAAAAAATTTTTTGATTGGTTTATATACATTGTACTAATTAATGGCCATTTTCGCAATAATGTCAAAGAACAATGTCATAGATCGATCAGCATTTGGCTTCATTACAAAAATGGCAAAAGTCGCAATGTTTTCTACAATGCAGCTTAGAAATTGTGTTTGATGTAAAAACTGCATGTATTATAGAAACTACGTGTTTTACTTACATGATGAATTCAGTTTCATAATGTCCTTGAAACTTCGTCGTACTTTCCTGATTTGGGGAAGAAGCTGGTTTAGGAGGCACAGTTGGTGCATTTACAAAAGCAGCCGGTATGCTCGGGGCAAGAGCCGGGAGGCTCGCGAGCCTCCTTTGCGAACCCCTCATTCTCACTGAAACAAACTCCTAGAGATTCCAAAAGCATTCTGAAGCACTACGATTCCCATCTTCGTGGGTGACATCTTGTGCATATATAAAAAGTCCCCAAAAAGATCAATTAAAACCACATCAGACTGTTTGCTCGGGGTTTGCACATTTGATTTGGCTATTGTCGGGGGTCTAGCGTTAATCGAACTCCGCTTCCTGGGTATGCCAGTCCACAAATAAAAATTTCAACATAATGTACTGCTATGGGCCCCGACCGTTTTTCCCTTTAGTCCGTGTGGGGTAGCATAGTTTGGTATTTAAGTCTGGTTACAATTGATAGGTAAAGTTTTAATCCCTGGACACCAGCAGTCTCAATGCTAGATAAAATGCTTTGCTTTAAAAGAGCCTCCCTCTAGCTTCACTGCAAACTACGACCTCCTGGTCGGTTTCAGTTTTTAGTTAATTGTCCGCCATTGCTAAGACAGTAGGAGATTTTTACTTTAAGCTTCAAATAAATATTTTTATTGGAATTTTTACTTGGTTTTGTTCAATAGAGGGAAGATAAAGTAACAAAAGGTTTTATATATAATACCATCCAAAACATAATATCATTATACCCACCACGACTCACAGCACAAAAGGGGCAGACGATCAAAATTGCGAAAAGGCCAAGGTCAAGTGATTTCGATCTTTTCATAACCAATCAACCACATTGAACCCCCGCCGATTGTTTGATAATTTAAAGAGATAGGTATAAGCTAAGATTATACCTGCAATTTATACATTTAGGGTAGCAACATTATACATTACATTATCGTTTATGGTAATGCAGTCATGTGCTTTTGCAATAAAATCCCCCATGGGGGAGCTAAGTAAGCCGTATTTAAATATTGAAAAGAGTTTAAAAGTATTAAACGTACAAAAATATTCAAAAATTAAATATATATTTTTTTCATATTTAATGGCCCAAAACGATTTTGTGAACACCTGAAAATGAACTCATTCCTGATGGTATATTTACGCATCTTTTGACGTGCTGAAATTCGAATACATGAAAATGATTCGGTCTAATTATGGAAATTAATTAAAGACTTGATTGAGTTTCTGGATTGAATTACTGTCGACTGATTAACCGAATCAGTGATTCTCAAAAGTTTTACAGTATTTTGTTTCGGAATTAGTCGCCCAAATTACCGAATCTGTCACTATTTATCGCATTTTCAATTTATAAACTCATCAGATTTTCAAATGAATTAAAATTTTCCAATAAGTTCTGCCCCGTAAAATCATTTTGATTAACGTAAAGGAGCATGTTTATGCTTGTATACTCGATAAATAAAGATGAAAATATTTTTGAATAACTTATACCACTACAAGATTTCAATCACAAATTATTTCTGTCAACAAGCGGAGATTTATGCTTGTAAAACTTAATAATGACGATAAAGACTTTTTGAATAACTTTAAAGATTCAAGTCACAGAATTATTACTGTCATCAAGAAGTGCTTTGTATAAGATGTCAAAATATAATTTTAAAAAAATTAACCTCTTCATGATTTTCTTTTCTATTCATAAAAATGTATTATTTTTATGCGAGACCTTGTTCATTTCAGTTAATGGGAAATGTACATACGCTAATTGACTGGTTGTGTTTGAAAGTAACACGACACCTTCTGTAGGTAAAGGTAGACCTCTATAAAATTGTAAAAGGGAAAAAAATGCCTTGTTCCTTTGACATATCTTTGAATAGATTGTATTCGTAAGATTCTCAGCCCCCTTACTACATATCAACTGATTGTAAAAGGTTAAGCCCAGGCACACACACAACCTGACAGACTTCGTATATTTAAGAGGACAACTAAATTCAACGAAATCCTTTGAAAAATTCTCTCTTATATCATTACGCCTTATATGGACTTACACGGCGAAAATATCGTACTTGCTTTGTGTTGTTGCCTCATAGACGAACAAAAGTCAAATATTTAGCTAAATATTAACAGACGGCAAACAAAAGCAAATCTAGGAGCTAGATGGCAAAGAAATTCAAGAAAAGCGAAGGTTCTCGTGAGTTTTTTTTTTTTGCCCCCATCATTCCATTCTTCCATATTCATATATGTCATTCATCTTCCATATGTCTTCTTTATAAATTATCTCTTTATTTTGTATTTTATGGGTGGATGTTGGTTTATTCAAAATTCAACGGAACAAAAATATCTATCCATGAAATTCAATAAACATGTAGAACTTGCATGATAATGGAATTCAGCATTTCAGAGGTCGAATAAACAAAGCCCCCCAAAATTGTTTCTCTCACTTGCGTTGTTCTATCTCTTTGAAAAATAAGAGGATGATAGAATGCAGTTTGTTTTCATAAAATCTTGATCAAATCGACTTTCAAAAATGAACACGTTTTGTGCAGTGTCAAAATAAGTGTGAGCATAATGTCACTTTGTATTCAAAACACACTGTTTTGTACATAAAAACTACCAAATTAGGGTTTTTTTCTCAAAGATATGCCATTATCAGAACAGAATCGCTCCTTAGCAGACCACCCTGTCTTTTTTTAATTTTATCCAAAGGCCATTGCAAGAAGTAATAATTATGATAGACAGAGTTCTACAAAGAAAGTCTCAATAGAAATGAGAGGAATACTCAGAGGTACAATACAATTCAAACAGAACATTTTTCAGATGTGAATGATTCTTTACTCTCCCTTTTCTGACATTGAGATCTTTAACTTAGAGTTCCAACCTACAACATTACCTGTACGTCGGTTATTTACTCAGAAATCTCATTACAGTTAAAGGACTGACAATCCATTTTCCTTTTCTATTATGAATTGTTAGGAGATGATTGGCTAATCTCCTTATAAACCTCTATCCGGATATGAGGACCATTCTTTGGGTGTCCTCAGATAAACTTTTTAAAAATAGAGATTTGTCGCCAAAGGTACAATACTAATTTTTCTATTTCTCTAACGACGAAGAGGTACACCTTGATGGTTCCAGTAAAACAGACCAAAATACGACAATTCTTCGAGGGCCCTGAAAGAAAAAAACTCATGCAATACGTTATTTTTCAGACTAACGTGTAACCCCTTGTTAGAATAAACATGAAGCGTGTTTCATCGTATTGCATTAAATTAAGTAATTTCACTAATAATTGAAAAAATGACCATCCACGGGTATAATAAATTTCCAGTCGAAGACAGTTGCTGTGTACTTTGTTCAACAGTGTCTAGACTTAAGTTTAGATTTAAGTAGTTATATACTAGAAGTGCTTCAACACAAAACTTAGGGCCATGGATATCTTTTAGAAAAGTGTTCAGGAACATTTTTGTTGTCATGCTTAAACACGAAAAATTACATTGTATATATGAATAGAGATTAAGTGAGTATAGACAGAGTGCCTATCAAATGAGAGAATTTCAAGTGAAGTTGTTCAAAACCAATTTTAGCAAATGAAGAGATACCTGCAGATCTGCAGTTCACTGGTCGAAAAAATGGGATGGACGACCATGCTATTATATCTCAGACCAGTGAGCTACATATAAAAACAAGCATACTGAGAGTATTGCATTAGCAATACTAGTCCCCTACCGGCAAGTGTAATCTGGTTCCCGTTAAAAATTGAAAATGCCATAATTCCGTCAAAAATCAATGAAGCGGAACGAAATGCAAATCTGATCTATAACACATCAAGATAAATCACATACCAAAAAATCAGCTCAATATCTGCAAGCGTTTAGAAAAAAGTGCGGAAAACCCTGAAAAATTGAGAAGGTAGTGCGGAAAACCAAGTGGGACAGACTGACAGACAGACGGACAGACTCAAATAAACCTATAGTCCTCTCCGGTTTTACCGGTAGGGGACTAATAAGCACCGGCCTTCCCTATAACGATAGACTCATCCCACAAATTGTGTGTGTGTGTGTGAGGGTGTGAGGGTGTGTGTGTGTGTGTGTGTGAGAAAGAGAGTGTGTCATATACATGTAACCATCAATGACAAATAGTTATATGGCGAGACTTAAAAATAATTTCATGAAAAGAAAAAAAAAACGATATCCTTAACATGAATTATTAACTTGGACACAAAATGAATAATTTTCAACTTCTGCTTAAAGTACAGATTTAATTATAGCCTGTTCTGTTTTCAAAGACATGTTCGATTTTATTTTGTTTCCATTTTAGGATAGAAGTCGGTCACCAAATGTTTCAAAGAAACTCTATCAATCGGGGCGCGATAATGAACACAGAGAGTTAATTCTTGGCACAACTTCACTATGTTTGTGAAAGCGACCGTCGCTATGATGGGTTTGTTTTTTTATTAGGAGCTAGATTTCTCTTCAATAGAAGATCAAAAAAATATTTACACAGTAAATACAAAAGTGGGCCGCCAACACATGTTAAGTAGTAAAGTTCAGTCGTTTGAGTAAATGACGCTCTATACTTGAATTGAGATCTCTCAAATCTTTACAAACCGACCAATGATGGTGAAAGCCAATTGCATTTAAAATGACATTCAATTAAACATTTATATCGTCTCCTCCTTAATTCCAAGAACAAGGTTAATTGTGAATAGATTTTCTCATACCGTCTTGAATTTTAAAAAGATTTCAATTAAAATTCAAAGAAGTGCAAAAATATCTTAATTTTCAGCATTCTTTCTTTAAAGAGCTTCAAAAATCAAATTTGACGCCATTCATAGAGAAATAAAATGTATACTTTATTTATATTTTTTCTAATATTCCAGCATTTTTAATTGATAAAACATTCGAATGATTCAAAAGAATTTTTTTTAAAGTAGCATGCATTGACATTTAGACACCTTTTTCTTGGTTTGACTCGCAGCCAGCAATGAAAAACGAGTTATTCTTAAATTATATATATTTATATAGTCTATCTGTATTTGTATAGCTGACTTAATATTTCAAAAGTTTCATAGGAACCTGAATTTACTTAAAAGTCATAAACCTTTTTAAAGTCCTTCAGTTTTGTTCTTTATTTAACTTTGACCGTTTCTTATCTTAAGTGGTAAAACATCAAGTTTTCACAATATGCCAACCAAGGGAATGTTAAATTAAAGAAAAGGATTTTAGAAGCCCTTCTCACATAAGTCAACATGAAATGTTCTAAAGGCAATGTCGTGGCTAAGCAACGTGGGAGTTCGAACGCACTCTACATCTTCGGCAATCGATATCAGACATTGTTTATTGATAAAACACACTTGTAATGGCTTAAATCTATCATATTAAATAACTCATATTCTTACATCACAAAGTGAATACCTATAGTCAAGGCAATGGGAGGGAAATATTGGGTTACGTGCTTTGAGGCAGTATTGGTTGACAACCTTCTCTACCCAAAAATCGAAGTAAAGACAAAACACGTCAAGTTGTAGCAAATTAACCTGAAGAGGGTAAACACAGCAAGGATCGTGCACCCCCGCCCGGTCTCTCGCTAATCCGTGTGAAG